TGTTGTAAATTTAATATTTTACTTAATTTATTTACTGCAAACTTTAACTTTAGCTACAGAAGGTCAAATAATAATTATCATGCCCTATTCACATCAAAGCCTAAACATGTTGAAAAGGTGTTTATTTTTTTTAAACACCGTTCTAAATTTTCTTTTTAAAAGCTGCCTAATTAGGTGATGTGTATAATTTCATTTGAATTGTAAAAGCTCCTGATCTAATTTACTGTTGCTTGTTTTCAATTGTTCAAAACCCAGTTCAATAATTTAAACTTGTTTAGTTGGTGTGAATGGGGCATTAGTTGCTTTAATAACTTTGTTTCCATAACTACTTTTGTGGTGTGAAACACACTCTAAACACTTTACACCCAAACAAGTTATTAAAATTGCAATATGCTTCAAGTTTTACCTCAATGTAATTCAGCAGAAAAATAAATTTGAAGTTGTAGACACTGATGACGAGCAGACAGTTTCTCATGGACAAGTTCAAGGAGTCGAAAACGAAATTAACTAGAAGTGTCGAAAGGCGGTTTCGAATATAGGTTTTTCAGCCTCAAGTATTGGGCTATTGGCTGAGCTCACCATACTCACTACCGATAACATTGTGAAATACATAAGAGTATGAACAATGTGAATATAACTGGTTTAAACATGAGCAGACCTACTTCAATGCTGACCCAATGTAAGTTTAGTCAGATTAATAACTGCTCCCACGGTGCTGGAACATAAAGAAACATACACTGTTTTCTGAACTTAACAAGAATGAGAACAGAAGTGTTACTGTCAAACTTACTATAAGCCACAGTGCTTTCCGGCATTTGGAAGGTAATCCAGCCCATCTTGAGCGAAAACGGCCGATGTACTGACAGGAACATGTGCAACGTTGACACAACAACAAATGTTTGAAAAAGCAAACTTGTACCTTTACTTCTGAAACATCTTACTTCAATTTGATCCTGTGCTAAAATCATCCTCGAAGGAAGCTACTGAAGTACCGACAAGAACACACAACATTTGCAAAAAGCTTCACGCAAATCTCAAAAAGAGCAACTTTGTACCTTGAAAAAGATTAAGTTTCCAAAGTGGATGATGAAGGCGCTTTAGAGCTGCTTATGCAAAACTCAGGAACTGCAGGGTTGGTATTTTGAAGTTAATCTCAAACATCTTGTATGGAAACTGCCAAAGTACTGACCAGAACACGTGCAACGTTGACATAACGGCAAATATTCGAAAAATCAAATTGTACCTTTACCTCTGAAAGATCCTTCTTCAGTTTGATCCCACGAAGAAATCATCCTCAAAAGAAGTTACTGAAGTACCGACAAGAATGTACACGACATGGACAAAAAGGCAAATCTCAAAAAGAGCAAATCTGTACCTTGAATGGACGACATGAGAAGTGCAGGCGAGGTATTAATTTTGGTAAGTACAGTAATCTGGGCCATCTTGAATGGAAGCTGCTGAAGTACTGACAAGAACATGCACAACATCGACAGCCACAAATGCTCGAAAACAGAAAACTCGTACCTTTACCTCCGAATGATCCTTTTCCAATTTGATCTCAAAATAAAACCACCTTCAAAGGAAGCTACTGAACTACCGACAAGAACATATTCGACATTGACGAAAAAAAATATTGGAAAGAGAAGATTTGTACCTTAAAAATGATTAGGTTTCCAAAGTGGAATGGTGAAGGCACTTTACAGCTGCTGTATGCACGACACAGGAACTGCAGGCTAGGCATTAATTTTGGAAGGTAATCCTGGTCATCTTGAACAGACGCTGCCGAAGTACTGACAACATGCACAACATTCACATAATGACAAAATGTTCAAAAAAGCATATTCGTACCTTAACCACAATTGATCCTATTCCGATTTCTTATCTAAGTGAAACCATCTTCAAATGAAGCTACTGAAATGCCGACAAGAACATACACGACATTGGAAAAAAGGCACATCTTGGAAAGAGAAAATTCATACCTCGAAAATAATCAAGTTTCCAAGTGGAATGGTGAAGGCGCTTTAGAGCTGCTGCATGCAAGACACATGAACTGCTGGCTCAGTATTTGGAGACTTCACTAACCATCTTGAACGAAAACTGCTGAAGTACTGACACAAACATGTGCAACATTGGGAAAATGACAGATGTTTCAAAAAGGACACTCGTACCTTTATCTCTGAAAGATCCTATTCCAATTTGATCTTACAATGTAACCATCCTCAAAGGAAGCTACTGATGTACGGACAAAAACATACACGACATCGGCAAATTTTAAAAGAGAAAATTTGTACCTTGGAAATCACTACGTTTACAGAGTAGATCGGCAAAGGTACTTAAAAGCTGCTGTATGCATACCACGGGAACTGAGATTTCGGTTTGGAAGGTAATCTGCACCATGGTGAAAGGCAGCTGCCAAGGTATTGACAAGAACATGTGCAAAGTTGACATAACGAACTACTTTGATTCTGTGAAATTTTGTTTGTCGAAGCCAAGAAAGTGTTACTAAAAATTATTTCTCTTTTGTTTCTTGAAATAAACTACTTTGAGTTTAAATAGATGTATGTTGCTCTGCAATACCATGACGCTGAATCATCCGAGAACATCTGCTGAGAACAGGCAACAGAAAAATTGATCCATCAAAATCGTGCTCAACGTACATTTTGTATTGCTTGCTGAAGAAAGGAACAAAAGAGCAACAAATGTTGATGATCTTTCTAAAGTACAGTTTGAAGAATCTACCACCATCGGTTAAACAAAACACACCCAAAATTCCATCTAAGAGTGAACTTGCTGCAAGACGGAACAAAATATGCAATGCTTTTGCAGGGTACAAGAGAAAATAGGACTGAAATGTCAACTGTCATGGGTGTGTTCAAGTAGTTTTGTAGTAATGTTATTTATTAGCGACTAAATTAATATCACTCCCAGTTAAGGTTTAAATTCACTTCCCTGACATGAAACTTATGTTTTACTTATGTTACGATAAAGAAATTCCATAATCAAAACAATGTTACATTTATTAGATTATACTAAAATTTGTTCTTCAATTTATATACTTTATATGTCATGGACGCTTATACCTGTCTAATGGATCAAAACCATCCATCTTCCTTGGTGAATAACTGTTAAAACTGATGAAAGTATGCATTTGTTTTTCCTAAAATTAAAACAGTTATGTTGGCAACCTAAATAATTAATCCAAAAACACTCACTATATTAAGGGAATCAAAGTACTCAGCTTAGCTTGTAACCTTTTGAATTTTTTAGATTTTACTATAATGGAATATTAATGTCATACAAATGGCAAATTTGAGATACATAACTTACTCTTACATAACTGTCGATACAAAGTTGGACATTGTAAAGCTTTTTTCTATGAGGCCCCAGTATCTTAGAAACGTTCAAAACTTTCTCATCGATCAAAATATATATACCTGCACTTTGCATTCTGTAATGCCATAACTTTTCAACCAGGGTTGGCAACTCTTGGAGGACAACCAATCACGCATATTTATCGGATATCATTCCAAACACTTCTGCATTCTTCCCACAGACCACACATTCAGTATCACCCAATACAAAGACCAGAAATGGTACCAACTACACTTGGAAAAGGAACTTTTATGAATACTGGTCTGGACTAATCGGCCGGGAATCTGCTTCAGCTCTACTCCGAGTTGGAAGGGTGCGATTAAAGCCAATAGTGGAATGATAAAAAAGGGAGGACGCAAACTGTATTTCATACTGCCAAACACTGGAATGGTAAGCCCACTACTTCTCTGTGATGAGGGCTGGTAAAAAGGTTGCTGTCACTGAATCCTATTGGTTGGTTAGGCCAGACTATTGCACTCTCAAAATACCATCTGGGGAACTCCGAAAAACAACATTTCACAAGCGCTCAAGCCCTCTGTACTTGAAATCTAGATAAGTTCATCACATTTACTATGGCCAGGCCATGAAAGTTGTGTGAGTGATGCTTGGTTCACAGAAGAAAATCGTCAAGGTTGCCTTACTTTTGACTTCAAAAATGACTGGTCGTTTTCCCCACAAGCACTCTGAAAAAAACGCTAAAAAACACACCCACACACACCAAGGAGACAATAAATTATACGTCCAAAAGAAAACGAATTTAACATACAAATTGATAGAAGACTTACATTCCATATTTTCTAACACTATGCAATCTGTGAATGAGATGCAAGCTTTGGAGGTCCATTGTCTGAGAAACACCTTGATACTTTTATGACAAATTCCAAGGAATTAATGCCTTCAGTTGACCATTCTCCAGAAAATTTTCACACAACAAAAACGATGACTTGGATGATTTTTCTATTACCCCATCTTGTTAATCGCGGTATGGGCAAACGGGACAGAATAAACCTTTAACCACTGAATAGATATCCTACTTGCACTGGTTGGTATTGGAACTTGAAAGCATTACTGTTACATTCAGCAAAATTGTTTAGGGCGGGAAGGGGGAAGGAAGGAAGCCAACTTTGACCTCTTGATACGGTTGCAACCATGTACACTTGCCTGAAAAATATGAACTTTATCTACACACACACACACACTATGGAACCACCATGGTGGTACACAATATTGACTTTTACTTAACACAAACTGGACTAAAAAGTAAACAGACATCTGGTTGAAACACAAACATGTTAAACACAGTCAAATAGATGAAGGCAGATCTTTCTAGCAGATATTGACATTACCAAGATTACAACAAATTTTAAGGCCAAGATGTCCAAGCCCTCTTGTGTAATTCACAAAACCAACAGAGAACACAGTTTTAACTAAACTTAGTGATGTTCAGCGGTTACCAAGTTTTGCTTGAGAATCTCTCCTTCATACCTGCACTATCACACCTTCACGCTGCCAAATGGCAAAAGTAGCACACCTATTCCATATAATACCATGACAGAAACTAAATGGAATTTAAAATTTTGAATAAAAATGGTCACAAATTACCATAACAGAAGATAATGATAGTGGTGTCAAGCATCCCTGCAGTTCTTTTTTCCTTCACATTGCACTGCCTCCCTTGCTATACAAACTGGAAAGGCTTTAACGCTTGCACTTTGGGCAACAAAGCCATCACAACAATTTGAATATGGAACTTCCGAGACTGTCTTCTTTCCATTCTTTACAGAATTCAGGCCAAACACAAAACAGACCCTGTCCCGAGACAGCATGACATACTGGACCATTGCAAGTGGCAAGATCTTTTTGGCTAACCCAGAGTGGTCTTTGTACGCCAAAGGTTATCGAAATGATTTGAATCACGGAGTCTACAACACAGAGGAATCAGCTCACATGACGATGAACTTTGCAATGTTGGAATTTACCATGCTATGCTGAAATTGGCTGGCTGGTTAGCTTTTATCGACCTGAAAAATTGCTTCAAAGCACATTTTCCACACAAACAACAAAAAACAAAACAACCAAGAATATCTTGGAAAGAAATAAAATAGCATTGATGACGTCAAAGGATGCAGCATTGGTTTGTATACAAATTAACACTTTACCTCGAATACACAGAATTAAGGCCTTGAATTTTGCAACAACTTTCTTTCGTAGTGGTGCATGAAGAACAGGACTGTTCAAATTTGGCTTTTGGTACAAATACCCCAGGAAGATGGGTGGGGAGGATACTGGTGAAGAAATTTCTACCAGAAAATACCACAAATTGAAGTCAAGACAATGACGACGAAACTGGTACTGCTTGGTCACATGTGGTTATGGTTTCCTTTGAGGCCTGCTATCTATGGACTCTTATTGCGCCCCTTTTGGTGTTACTTGATACTTTAACTTGGCTCAATACTTCTGTATGCACACGACTTCACTGAACATTTTGGTAACAAGTTGCTCGGGGTATGACCATTTGCAAATTTTAAATGGAGATCAGTAACCTCACCACTGATTTTCCTGTTTCTATGTGATGAATCCTGGAAGAAAGTGCTTTGCACATACACACATTCCTACACACATGAGTTGCAAATTTATCAAGGATGTATATTTTCTTACAAGAGCTCCACTGGCCTCACTAACTTCAAGGTGACAACACTAGCTTTAGGCTTTACAGATGGAGAAGCATATTCATGACTGCTATTCCCAACTCAGCAAAATGGTGTGGGTGGATAATATGGGCTCAAGTAGGTTGAAATCCCCAGGATAAACGAGTTCTTTTTAGCACACTGTCTCTTAAAGAATGGCTGACTTTAAAGCTTGGGGCCAGAACTGGTTTGGAACATCACATCACGATTATTAACCTAAATTTCTCCCAAATGACTCAATTTGTTCAGTCTCGCATCATAATAAATAGACAGTAATATTGATACCTTGTCTGAAAGACAGCACAGACAGTATGTTTGCCTTGCACAAATTACCCAATAGAAGATCTCTTGGGAAGAAAATACAGGCATGGATGACTTTTTCAGAAGTTCAGCATTAAAAATCCACAAAAACTCAGTTGACCTGCTAAGATGACGCAACAGAGAAAAAAACTTTGTGGTCAGCTCTACATCCTGGACTATTGCTTGTTCACGCTGCAAGATGGCAAAAGTAGCACGCACATTCCAAAGAAGAATTCTTTACAAGCTTGAAAAACCAATCACAATTTAAATTTACCATTCCGATTGGACTTGCCGGATTCCTTTTCTTGCGAACTGAAAATCAAAGCTTAAAAGCATGCACACTGTCGACAACAAATGCAACACTTAACCTAGAATAGGCTCCTTGACATTCTTTGAACTGGTAGCCAAACATTACATTTTGAACATAAAGAATGTGTGGAACTTTTCCTGCAAACTCAACTACAGAAGTTGGAAAACTTGCTTGAGCTCCACTGCCAAGTACATGTTTCAGAGCATTGAGTAAATTTCCCAACCAGAGTTTGCATTAAACACAAGTAGCACTAAGTTGGAACTTTCCTGGCTATTCTCTGAGATTACCAGAATATAACAGTGAGCAAGGGAGAGTACCACTTCATCATTTAACAACTTACGGGTATCTTTGTGGTGGGTATGGCTGTAAGTAGAACTTGCCCAAAATTTTGGGGCGCTATTCCTTCATGGATTCTTTGGTTTAGGCAAAACCCATAGATAAATCTTTCTTGAAGTCAAGCAACTTTCTCCACGTTGAATCATCAACTTTTGGTAAGTACATCAGACTGTGTACATCTTTCAGCTTTTTGATTCTTGAAAATTTTCCCAATCCAAACGACCCTTCTGAAAAAGGCTTCAGATCATGCATGTACTTTCACACATATATAGAAAGAGCTGTTACCTCCTTGTCAAGTTAACGGGCAAAATGGTTTGCTGGCTTTACACAATTCAATTTAGTGCCTCGAGAAGATGAAAGCACCTGTACGGATGACTGTTTCAGAAGCTCTGCTTTTATTGCCTCTATAACATCTGCCCTGGTGGCAACAGGAAAGGTCTTTTGAAGGCTGGATTAATAAAATGCTCATGCTGCAAGATGGCAAAAGTAGCACGCATATCCTATACACAACAAACTGACTGTACCCAAAATTGTAGCAAATATACATGCTAACAGATTTGTAAACAGACACAAATTTACCTTTGCAAATGAAATTAGCTTATCATTACGCATCCAGTTAAAGTCTTCGACTGAAATCTGCCTCCTTGCATAATGAACTGCAAATGCTTTAGAACAATGCATACTTTGGGGAACCAAAACCAATTTCTTATAATAGTCAAGTGGGATGTGATGTTTCAAAATCCCAGTACGGCAAAAATCTTTGGGTGGCAATCTTTAAGATGGTGAATGAACTGGACTGACGACAGCAATCAAGAAGTCTTGGGTAGAAAGAGCAGGAGTTAACTTCTTCTATTCAGGGCTTTGCACTAAGGTGGTCATACCAAGGAACAAAACTATCAAACCAGAAATAATTGGATGGCTTGTGCAATCCTGGAACTTTATTATCACTTGGAGGATTTGAGATGGATGGGTCCAACATTCAATTTCTGTAACTCTACAACTTGGAGCACACCAAACATAACCCAAACTCATTGAACTACAACATTGAGTTACTTTAAGTGGAACACTTCTTACTGCAACTTTACACCACATTGCTTGAATTCAGTCTTCCTGTGAAGACAATTGGCTTTTCTTTTTTCCTCAAGATCCTCCCAGATAGATCCCTCCACCACTGTTTCCACATTGCCTTTAACTGGATAACAGTAGAGAAAAAAAAAAAAAACAACCCTACCCATACATTGAGTTACACATGGTCCACACCCCCATTAACTGTGATAACCACGGAGTACACAGAACGAGTGATCAAAGACATTCCACGAGTTACTTTTTTAGTTCTTGAGAACATTCATCTAACTCCTACATCTATGCCCATAAAACAGTTCCACTAAGATATCGCATCCTTTGCCTAAAATTATGTTGTATGATGACTTCTCACAGGCAAATTGATAAATGAAGACCAAAAATTATGTTGAAAACCGAGACGCAAGTCTTCTATGAAAGTGATTTTCCTGCCTTTCTCCATTTGAAGCCAAGAGCTTGATTTCTGCTTCCAATATACCCTCTTTAAATTAAATCAGAGGAACAAATGTTGCACAAACCTTAAACTACGTAATTAGTAAAACTATAGATATATGCAGCAGTGTCGAATGTTGAAACATGGGCTGAGTATCTACACATATTATTTTGGTCCTACAACCCAGAAATATTTACTTCACATCAAGCTTACAATACTATATACTCAGGATAATACAAGCCTTGAAATGGCTTTTTAACTGTCTGCAGGACTTCTTCCACCAAGGAATGCTCTTTATGATGTGGTTCCACAACAAACTAATAAAAGTCAGTAAAAAAAACTTCTTAAGACTGCACTTAAGCACAAAGCAATAGTTGTGGGTTGTCAACTGAAAATGTTAATGCTTAAAAAGAGAGGCAAATGCTTGGCATTTACCAAGTGACATCAGATCTCTTCATCCACCATTGTCAGTCTTTGCATTTCCATCTGTGGATGACAGCAGATGCTTTCATCTTCACCTCAAAGGCAGGCTTCAAAAGAAATGACTAAATCAAAATCTTTGTTATCTGTTATCCAAGTTTAATCTATCGATGTTCAGTTTCTTCCACAATGAGATTTACAAGGTTGAAATTTAAGAATTCTTCAGAGTCAACTGTATGGAAACTGGATTGTAGAACATTTTACAAGACATTATTCCTCTAAGAGTTGACCTCCACATGATTAAGTACATTACTATTAATATTAGCCGTTATCATGTATAACCAATACCTTCTAGAAGATTTTGATGTGTTTACAAGAGTGAGTCAAGGATGCCACAGCTGGCTTGTCAGCTGAGGAAACTTAACTTGTTGCTGTGAAAACAATCAAGACAAAATTAAATCATATTCAAGTAGTAAATTTAGTTTAATTTGAAAAAATTCCACTTTTATTTACAAAAATATCAAATAAATAATATTTACAACTTAACGAGTTTCCCATTGTACAAAATTTTATCAAACTGTCAAACACCGAAAAAAATTCTTGAAAGTTTGATAATGTTCTTCCTAACTATGGAAATATTATATCAATAAAAAAGTCTAAATTGAAACAACCTAATCAACATTCAACTCTCTGGTTACTTTCATCCCGAACTCTTCTTAACAGTGGCGACCTCAATGATCTGAAATCACAGAAGCATTTTTCCGACTTTCACAACTAGTACTTAGTTTTTGAAAGAAGTCGTCGATACCTAAAAGATCTTCGTCATCTTGATAAGACGCCGTCATATTCCACCCAAGTCCATTTGGAGAGCCATGCCATTCGTACGTTTCGTTTTGTTTCCGACGCTTGACTTTCCTCATACATCTTTCCGTTATCTCCTCGTTCAATCTTTGAACCGTAAGTTCCAACACGGCGTTTCGAAGCATATCCGGATCCCTTTTCCGCTTGTTGGCTTTCTTCTTCTCCAAAGACGTCGTCAGTAAGGACCAGAGTTCTTTGTCCGTACATATTGAGTGCTTTCCATGTCGAGGCCGACTGTGCATGCTAAGTCGCACGAGACAAAACGAGTACACAAAAATTTAGACGACGCACAAAGATTGGTACAAATCGTGCCACCGTTTAAACGTTCTTTTCATATAAATTGAAACTTCAAGTTATCTCTTTCGATGTTCGTGCTCTACGACAGTTTCTTCTACCCCTGCCTCAAACGACGACAAGGACAAACTCACAAAGAGCGATTACAAACCGAAGAAATTAACTGGAACGCTGTCCTCTAACAACAATCTTCAGCCGTTGTCCGTTTGGTTTAGAGAATACTTGCGCTAAACGCACAAAAAAAGTTCAGTTGAACAGATAAAACGAAGAGCACTAATGATACAACTTACTTCCACAAGCGATGCCCCAAGCACTGAAGAAACGCAACAAACGTTCGCTTTACGTTGAGGCACAGATAGCCAGCTAAACTGGCAAAACCGGTTTTAATCACGTTTTTAGCCAATCATATGCCCCGAAAATAACATCATCATCCAATCATAAGACACGTAAATAATAAATGTGACGTCGAGAGTTACGTCATCGCGTGTTTACGTGCGATTGCAAACTTGCTTCCTGTGTTTCGTGTGCGCGTTGGGGAATAAACCGAGAGCTCTAAATATAGACGATAGACGAGAATTTTTTTTTACGAAAGGGGTTGCTTATTTTCCCGGGATCCATCCATATTGCTGCTTCTTCCTCTTCGCTTTCCTCACCTTGCCTTTATTCTAAAAGTTCTGAGTTTTGTGTTTGATTTTAGTACGTGCCTACCTACTTGAAGCTCTTCCCTTGAAACTCATGGATCCCCTCACGAATCGAGGAAAGGACGTAAGAGATCAGCTGATAGCCTGCGTAGTATGGCGGTTTTGTCTACGCAGGCTAATCAGCTGACAGATAAGGGACTCTGTTTAAGCCCGTTTTAGAAATTAAGAAACAGACCAAATGAAACCTTCCTCAAAATCCCCTTACAACGAGTAATTAACATAAATCAAAGAAATAACATCAGCAGTGAAAAGCTGATTCTTCATTAGCTGCTGCCTTAGGCAGACTAGGCAATGCATCCTCTTTTTTCTCTCCGTTTAGCGCCGTCCGACCGACCCAAATTTTGGGCATTTAAAAAAAAAAAAAATAGTAATGACGTAGTTAAACCATTTTTCTCTTGAAATAATTCTTTTAATCTGAAAAATGAGCTTAGTAACAGTCTAACACAGAGAAAAACAGGAACAAAAACAGGAACGATTTTTACGGTATATTGTGCATTTTGTTAATTCAAATATGTGAATGTTGAACGTCATCCTGGGGTACAAGGGCCTCCTATTCCGAGACTTCTAGTGTTTTTTTTTAGGTTTTTTTTTTCAATCCGACGGACCGTCCCAACATCAGGAAACGCATTCGACGCTAAACGAAAAAAAAAGGGGGGATGGCCTAATAGGAAAAAATAATAAATAATAGGGGAACCTTGTAAAAGCCCATAAGGGTTTTCTAGTTCCCCATATTGGTGTAATTATATATCTGTTCAGTAATAAGGTTGATGTTGCTGTTGTAAAAAGGAAGGTTGAAAAGGTTATAAAGAGGGAGCGAGGGGCAGTATCACATAAACAAAGATTATGGTTATTCCTATAAGTGTTAGTTCAGGAGCCTAGGGGCCCGTTTCTCGAAAGTGGCGGCATGGATATTATCCATGGTGGCAGTAACTTTTCGGGCCCGGACAGCTGTTTTATGTTTCCTGATGTTTCCTGTGTTGGCATAATTTTCAAGATCAAAGTTTCAATAATTTGGAAAGTGATAAAATGAAACTATCAGTTAACAAAGCAAAATTGACTGGTTTATGAGCTAGGAAATTTGAGATCAAATTGTGTTCTGGGTATGCTAACACAACAACAGGACCTGTTTAGAAGGAGGGACACAACAATAATAAAATGGACCTGCTATCTATACTGGCTCCTGAGCTAATGCTTGGCCCCTTAGGGGCACAACAATTTTACCAGTGATAGTCTTCGAGTACAGCCACCCCTCATCGCTCAGTCTCTTTCACACCGTTTATTATTTAAGCCAGGGAGTGGGCTGGTAAGATCCATCAGAAAGCACAACAAAACGTTTTGATCCCTTTGAAGGAAAACTAAAAAAGTCATGAACCCTCTAAATGTGCTTTTTTTGCATTAATTATTGATAGCCCCTCCTCCCCCCCTCCAATAAAAAAAAACCCTCAAAAATCTTAAAATAAGTATGTGAGAACGAAGATACAAAATGCAAGCTATTAAAAAGCTGGAAGGTAGTACAGTATAGGCTATTTTGTGAATCTTTACAAGGACTAGAAAGACCTCAACATCTATTGTTGCCCAATTAAATATTAAACATTTAATTTGTCCCCCTAAAATTATCATATTTCTTTCATCATCCAAAGAGATACTGCAAGAACAGTCCTTTGCTGTGAGGGAGTGTGAAGTAAATGATGGGGGATTGGTGGAGTAGGAGGAGGGGGTGGAGGCGGTAGTGGCAGTGCTGATGGACTGACTGTTTCTTCCAGCAGTGCTGATGATAATGATATGCCATCATCATGACAAATGTTCTGGTGTTTATTTGAGTGATTAACAATAGAGTTTACTCCACAGTGGCAAGGATTACTTATTTTTTGTCTACTTTGATGATCATCAAGGAGGTGATTGTTTTTCTCTCTAAAATTTTTGATCTTGTAATTGTCGCTGTTACTTTCATTGTCCTGTTGCTGTTTTGGCTTCTGTTCTTCAGACTGGCCTTGTAATATAGCAAGCTGCAATGTTCAATAAATAATTTTATTATTCATTCAAAATATTTCCGCATTTCTGATTGGTTAAAATCACACATATAATTCACCATAACCAGCTACAGTTGACCATCCTCAATCTACAGAATCCTTCATATCCTACTCAGCCTCATTCAATAATTGCTAAATATTTATGTGAAAACCGAGTTCATACATATTTTTAAGAATAATAGCCTAATGCTGAGTTGATTCCCTCCACCCCCAAAAAAACAAACCCGAAACTTGGTTCACTCAGTTTCCTAACCCTACTCACTAAACTTCAGCGGCGTGGTCCATCTTAGGGTAGTCCTTATGGGTGGTCTGTGGGTGTATTTCATGGACCAGGGGGCACTGTTTAGTCCACCACCCTCAGATTCAGCTGCTCTTGACAGTTACTTATCAAATTGCCTTACAATGAATCCTTGGATCCACCCCATAGATTACTATTAATTTTAGTAATGACTTTCATCAATTGGAAAAAGACACTGGTTATAGTAAAAATCCGAGATTCAAATTGAAGAATGAAATCTTCCAAGATATTTTAGTCTCATTCAAAAAATCAAACATTGATCAATTACGTTCGATATTACTGATTTTTTTTATGAGCCCAGCTCTGAAACAGTTTATACCTGTTGGTGAACTATTAGAGGGAAAAAATAATAGATTCCCATTATTGGATATTTTAGGGTATTTTAAGAATACCCATAAAAATCCCAAATTTGGCAAAGTGAGACAAGTCCCAACCAGGGAATTCCCAACCAAGTTCCCTGGTTGGGACTTGTCTCACTCTTCCAAATTTGGGATTTTTGTGGGTATTCTTTAAATACCCTAAAATATCCAAAAATGGAAATCTGTTATTTCTATATATAATGTTAAACACAGCATGATCAGACTGTTAAGAATGCATTAACCAGCTAAGACTCACCTGGGAGGAAGTAAAAACACTTGAACTGGTTTTCACCGGAGAAACTTGAGAACAGAATTGATAACCAAGATGTTCATAAAATTTACACTTGTTGGTTGTGGACAGATAGATGGCTGTACAACCTAACCTACAAAGTAAATTCAAATGTAGGAATAAACATTGTTTCTTGAAGGGAATAGTTAAACTGTGTCTATTTTAGCACAAAAGGGGAGGCATTATTATGACAAATAATAGTGCATTGTATGTCCTCCTTTTTCTATTCTATAGTAAGCTTCTGTTTGATCTGTTCTGTCAAAAGTGCTTCTTATCTGGTTAAGATCAAACTGCCTTGAGGGATTTTTAGGTTTTGAAGTTGTAAAAACGCTGTTCAGACTCTCCGGGAAAATGATTAAGTGTCCCCAGGAAGATTAATAATAATTATTATAAAGCCCCTATCTCAACAAAATTATGTCTTCTACACAATGATCTTCACATTTTGCTCTGATGACAACCTGTTCTAGGCATTCAAATTGTAGGGAAGGTGCAAAAGGAAGTGAGCGCGAAAAAGAGAGAGGAGTTAGGTAGGGGGTGATGGGTGAGCCCTCTCCATCTCTCCCGCGTCGTTTTTTTCTCACTCTCTGACTTCGCGCCTCACTTCACCATCTGAATACTTGGAGCAGGCTACCCTGGATAAAGATAATATTACAGTACGGAAAGTTTCGGATGTATGACATTTGTCATTCTAATCATCCCTTTTAATTTACTGCTATTCACAGGAAAAAATAACGGATTCCCATTTTTGGATATTTTAGGTTAATGAATACCCACAAAAATCCCAAATTTGGAAGAGTGCCAACAAGTCCCAATCTGGGAACTTAGTTGGGAATTCCCTGGTTGGGACTTGTCTCACTTTGCCACATTGGTTTTCTTAATATATAGTTGCACTGGTAGATAAGTATATGGGCCATGAGAAAAAATGGAATGATGGACAAGTGAAAACAGTCTTGGGCGTGAAACAAATTCTCTTTATCAGTACCACAGAAAACAAAAAGAAGACGGTGTGGAGAATATGCATCCTTATATTAGGGCTTAAAGGGTTAAAAAAATCAGAAAAACTTACTGTGATGCATGTGCTTCTGTGAACTCCATGAGCTTTTTTCCAAAGCCATGTCCTCTTTTGGCCTTTTCAATCAGTACTGGAAGAAAAAACATTATTAATACAGACCTTGTGATGGAGTGCAAAAAGATTAGAATTGTCTGGAGTTACTTATGCAAACACATCATCCAGCAAAGAAATCTAATAAAAATGCAGCAAATAATTTTTTTGTACATGTATGAAGCTCATGACCAGAGACTCTGCATGATGTTTCCAATGCTAATTTCCCAAAAATGAACAATTTCTTGTATACTAATTGGTTGAGAGCTATGGTTGATAATTAGTGCAGATCATTGATTAAATGATGTCTGATGGTGGTGCATATAATTTATGGCAAGTGCCCAACCCCTGCTGCAGACCCCTCCTGGTTAAAAACTTAAGTTTTGTTCTGTACTTTAAGGGATTTCCTTTGAGTTTATGGCTTTCATTAGCTGGAAATCTACCTTGTACCCAACAATGTAATTCTATGAATTTGTAATAAAATTAAAGCTGGCATTTTATCTGGTGTGACAAAATATACTGTTTACCGTTACAATCAGGTTTCACAATCTTAAAAGTTCTTCACAAATTGAGCTCACAATAGATAAAACAGAATTACCTTATTATCAAGGTACCAGCTGAAAAAAAATCAATAAAATACACTCACCACATGATAAGAAAACAGAAGTTGGCTTTCCAAGAACCTTGTTAAGTCTGCTATGGCCGATGACTCTGGAGAGATTTTGCTGATCTGCTGTTTGAAGGAGAATGAGTGAGCAAGGAAAATCCTCTTTGTTTTCAGTCAAATAATGAAGCCTGAAATAACATTTTAAAATTACAAATTGGTTTTCAAATAAATGATATTTGAATTAACTTGAAATAGGCCTTTCCTACATTCCTGTAAACAAAAGCACAAACAAGAGTTGTGTGATGACAAATATGCAGTGATTTGTATGAAATTGTCACAGACTTGCCGATTATCACAACTTTGGTGTGAGTCTCATGATTTTTTATCTTTTCCCTCCTAGTCTCATGGGTTTCGGGGAAAGAGCACCTTTTCGGGATTGTCCACAAACAACGAAACTGGCAGTCATTCCTGTTGCCTTGATGGCATTTCTAAAAGTGCCTGTCTTTTTGCAATATTGTATGTCTTGCAGTTTTCCTTTTTCCACCCTATAAACAAGGCTGTGCTTTAGCAGTGCCCGGTGGCCCCGGCCTGGCACCTAACTTTTGCTCCCAGGTGACCAGAAAATCAGGGGCACCCAACGTCAATTTTCGGAAAATATCTGCTCGGAAGACCATTTGAGGTCTAGAATTTTCAGAACATGTGTTTGTTTGTGCAAATTTCTTGCTTACCTGCCTCTCCTAGGATTTTCAAACATCTATAAACTGGTATAATTGCCCATTTTTAATGGATTTTTACCCTCAGAAGGTCACCTAAAATTCTCGGGAACCTTCTTTCTGGCTGATATTTGCGAAAAGGTAAGTTTTGATCCCTATAATTTTCAGATCACTAGACTTTCGGCTAGGAAATCCCAACAGATGAAAAATTTTTAGGGGATAAAAATATGCCTATATCTACCGTCTAAATACTAAAATACGTTTAACAATGCTATGTTTAAGTGGTTTTGAACTATATTCTCGTTGGGTGTCCCTGGAAAATCGTACTCTTTTCAAACAAATCAGCATACTTGGTACCCTGGGTGCCAGAGGGTTTTTTTTATCATGACGAGGGGGAAAATTTTTTTTCCCTGGCTCGTCACAACCGCTCAATTTTCGCCGAAAACAACAGGAGAAACCCTCTGGCACCCAGGGTACATACTTGGCATCCTGGATTTCACAGGTTCAAAACACTGATTATTATGAGCTCCCTTCAATCACGTTCTTAGAGAACAGCCTTGATAAATCTTGAAACTTAGGAAATATAATGAATATATGGGTTTAAAATGTATGTGGGGCGGCAGGGGCTGGGCATGAATGGTTCAAAAAAGCGCAACAAATGAAAATTTGTCTCATCACCACTTGTCTATGATTTTTGCTCTGATCCTTTTGGTCGATAACCATTGCTCTCCCAGGCTGGGGGTTTATGCTCGATTGATCTGTATACATTATCTTACCTCGCAGTAAGGCTTAATGGCCATTCCTTATTCAAGAAGTTAGCAGTTTCTTCAAGTAGATCTGGATTATTCCGTAAAGAGACAATCTTGACCCTTTCGCGCTCAGCCATTTTTCTTACATAGAGTACTTAGTCCGTTTTTGCCATCATGTAAGCACACTTGAAATCTCTGCCACTGGACGAGGCGGCGTGCGTGAAACGGCCATAGAGTTATCGTAGTCATTGCAGGACGAGTGTATCAGAAACCTGTCTAAGAATATTTAAATATGTCTGTATTCAGTGAAAGACCGGAACCTTTATCGGGAAAGGATGAAGGGTAGGTGAACTTGTCTATGTGTTTACATTTTCGGTGAAATGATCGGCCGCAATCAGCTGAATTTAATGACCTTGGTCCTTTGAGTCAGGGCGTTACCAATCGATGAAACCGATGATCGGAAAATCAATCGATCAATCGATGACAATCGATGCCAATAAATCGATTGATATCGATAATCGATGAACAATCGATGCTCGGGTTTTATGTGATTATCGATTTCATCGATTATCAATTCTTATCGATTATCAATGCCAATCGATCAGTTAATTGTCATCGATTGGTTTTCATTTTTTATGCGTTTTATTTTCAGTCAAGATTTCCAAAAACACGGTCTCTTTATGCATTTTAATGATGAAAACTGCGATAAAACTTTACTTTTTTTTCACAACGGTGATTGATACATCGTGAAGAACATGGGGATACGATTTTATGACAATATCAATTTTCAATTAGGCATCAAATTGATGAATTGTGATGAAACTGTGGCAAAGAACAGTGCCGTAGCCAGACCAAACGGCCAACCGAGGCAGGCGGGAGTTGCTAGGGGGGTTCGGGGGCAGACTTTAGTCTCTCGGAAATGCGATTTGCAGCGTTTTCTGGGCCTTTCGATAACTTTTTTTCGAGTTAATTTAAGTGGAATTTAAAAAGCAATAATCAGAAACAAGCTACATAATCTGGGTGACCGTTAACCTCGCCAATGGTTTTGATCAGTATTTGTTCAAAAAAAATTTGAGTTAACGTACGTAGCCCCTTGAGATCGATGATATGGTAATTTTTTCATAGTATATTGACTGAATTGCTGAATTCTTTGTAATATCATGATGCGTTAAAAATATTCCATGATCGCTTATGTAAAATAAAAATGATCGGCGAAATTCGTCAAAATTTTACCGAGGCGAGTACCTCGGTTGGCCTCATACTAGCTACGGCGCTGAAGAATAACCAGTATACGCCAGGACAATTAAGCCTGCAGTGAACAAAATTCATTTTTTGCCCAGTTTACTTTGTGCACCTTTGTTGTGACAAACAAGTAACAAAGTGATTGCTGAAGTCTATCCACGTTGTTTCTAGTTTATTTTATTACAGTTCAGTATAATTACATCACCCACCATTCAGAGCTGACTCGTCCCCAGGCGTCTCTCCATCGCCAGACTAAGAGACGGCAGGGAAAGATGTCAGCATTCTCGCAGTTCGTCTAGATATCTTTAAACACAGAACACTACACTTAATTATTCTCAGAAATTTTACTCGGATAAATCAGATAATAATAATTTCATCCTGCACGGCGTGTGGACAGGACCTGTTGGAAAAATAGGAAATAGTGGAAATATAAAATTCCTAAAAATTCATATCAACCAGATATCAACAGTATAAAGGACAGCGAAAGGAACAGCTAAGCGAAAAGGTGTGTTGTTGACTTGCGTTTCTTCAAAACACTGTTTCAAAGCGTGTTTCTGTTGTTGATTTTTGAAACCATGCAACAGCATACAAACAATCCGGTGAACGAATTCAAATGTCAAACATTTGTGCGTACTGTGAGTGCGTATACGTACAGGCTGGAACATGTGGGATACCGAGATTTTTTCAACGCCAATCGATGAGTTGCGACCACTTTTGTGTGATTATCGATTGGTCATCGATTGGCCGATGCCAATCGATGCCAATTAACTAACAAGGCATCGATTGTCATCGATTGATCGATTGATTTTCCGATCATCGGTTTCATCGATTGGTAACGCCCTGTTTGAGTGAAAAAAAAAATTGTTGGTTGTAGACTGCAGACGACCAAAGTTTACACACTTCTCAAGGCTTCTAGTCCAGAAAGACACCCTGTTCAAGATGCCAAATGGCGAAATTGTGTACTCTGATTACAAAACCCTCAAAAACATCAAAAACCCTGCCCTGTTCAGCGGCCGCCGGGGGGGTGGGGGGTACTTCTTATGGATGTGCCGCTAGATGGGGTCCCATTTTCACGACAGGTTTGGCTATAATGGGGTTGCATTTTCAATAGAGTTACTAGAATGGGGTGGCACATTTTTGGATTTTTGGGATAAGAAAGTTCTTCATATTCATGGATATTTATGGTTAGCAAGCGTACCAGAATATTTGTATTGTAGGTGGAAAGTAAAGTGTTCTTTATTCAATTTAAAAAATGGGTCAAGTCATTTTAAGATGACCTATTTAAAGGATTGATAAGGTTAAGATACAGTGGGAGCGTAAAAATTACATTTGCCCAAAAAATTAGCCACAGAAGAGACTAGAATAGGGTAGGGGCTGTGAGAGGTCAGCAGCACATGTACATACCCAGCAAAAATTAACCCAAGTACCCCCCGGCACACACTCATGCCAGCTCATGCATTAGGCCGAGGGAGTGCTTCTCCCCCTTCCTATCCTTAAGTGACAGCCCTGTTTGGCATATAATTTACTTCTTTACACACAACCCTAAACCTTTTCTTCTGAAAGTCGATCTGAAAGTACTAGTGGATTCAAACCCTACAATATTTACACTGTACATCCAAAAGCGAGACTACAAGTGACCCATCCCTGTCAGATGGGAAATCCTCCTCTCCGGTGATTGATTCTAACATACTTACAGATTTATTGCATACACCTGATTTATTTGAATATTTTTTTCCTGTTTAGGTCATTTGCATATCTTACAATACGTGACAGAATGCCAGTTATTTTGACCAAAGTGATTGACCTGGTTCATAGAAGAGCTTCAGCTTTCTCTGATGAAAACCAACAGGTTATCTTTTTTTCTGGTTTGCTTTGATAACTATTTTCTGTTTTTTTATTCTTCTGCTGCATAACGCTCACATCTTTAACTTGTACTTTATTAAAGATTACTGATTACTACTTCGGCAGCAAAGGTGGCGCCGTGGTGAGAGCACTCGCCTCCCACCAATGTGGTCCCGGTTCATATCCATAATTTGTTACCCCTCCATAAACTAGCCTATGAAATACATCTCTGTTCGCAGGCTATACATAAACAACACAGTTTGAAATATTCTTTCACCTGGTGTCATTTTTTTTGTCAACCAACTATAAGATTAAAGTCCTTGGCTGGTTGTTGGGAGTCAGTCAGCTGTCGTGTCCAAATTCTGGACTAAACCGATGTAAATGCTCTGGTTCAGAGGTTTTTTGTACATGTCACTATAAAGACTTGACAGTAAACCGGAAATCGCAAATGAAAAGTCTCTAGGACCCACTTGGGTACCTTTGCCACTGAATAAATTTTTCTCTCTATTTTAAACTTACAAGGAGTATACAGAAGACAGCAAGGATGTATTAGCAAAGCTTTCAAAACTGAGGTATGAAATAAAAACCAATAAACCTCTGATGTCACTGGGGGATGACCGGCTGGATGTAGGAATTTGGAATGACACCATCGAGAACACTAAATCATTGGTGGATGACAATAAGGTTGCATCTTTCACTGGGGCTTGGCTTGTTGTTGAGTGCTACATGTATCGCAAAATTTATGAGGCATTTTCTCTCAGGTCAGTGATAGTGATGTGCTGATTACAGATTATAACAAGTCATTGATCAAAGTCTTAAAGCAATGTGATTATGGATTGTGGAAAATGTTCAATTCATTATCGAGGCAAAAAGTTTCTTGTTATCAAATAAACATGTCGTCTTTTTAATGGTCTCATACAAACAAAAGCAAGAGAATTTTATTACCAAACTCACAACCCTCCAAGGTCTAAATCAGACACTCTAACCATTCAATGGTGTTAAATTTTGTATGTTGTTTTTGTGTTCTAAAACATAGTACAGCAAAGAGATTTTCCTGGCAACAGAATTCGATGGTCTATCAGGTGGATCAATCTGGTTATTTCCGATGATCTGTAGATCACCCTTCCATGTCTTTTTCAACTTTTGATAAAGAGCAGTTTTCAAGCGAATATCTATTAAAACTTCTGTAAAGAGGGCCTTAAAGGGGCTGTGTCACGGCAGTCCAGTTCATTTTGTTTAATTTTGCCAATTACTCACGCTCAATCGCTATGGAACATAAAGTAAGCAAAGAAATTACAGGTAAATGACAGAATCAGAGATCCGAGACAAACAAATACGTCTCCTAAGCATTATTTTTGAAGTTGCAAGCAGCAGGGATCAACTTTGAAAAACTGTTAGGCTGAACAGTTTTCAGAAACCCTTATTTCAATCTGTTTCAGTCTTCTCCAGTTTTGCCTATCCGTGGCATCTGTTGTTTCTGTTATGTCATTTTAACCTTCCTTTCAAGTTTTAAGCGGTTATTTTTATGGTTCTCCTAATTTAACGGGCATTTTGTAATTTCCTAATTTGGTTGAATTTCGTGACACAGCTCGTTTAAAACTAGGAAATTTACCAAGTTTGAAGGTGATATGTCCAAAGAGAGTAAAGATATTGCTCCACAAAGTTGCAAAATTTTACAGAGGTTTGAATGGTGAGGGGCACGGGACTAGCCTCCCACCATACAAACGTGTGTAAAATTCTGTGACTTTGCAGAGCTTTATCTTCATTAGTTTTCAACAAATCACTTTCAAAATTTACTGGGTTTATGGCGTTCTTTACAGCCATGTTAATGGATTTTCACCAACTGGTCTGAGTCAAAAGTTGAAAAAACCATGGATGGGTCTTTTATGGAATCTCAGGCCCAGTTCAGACACAGTGCCACTCATGTGCCCAACCTAACTGATGAATTAAGTACGGCAAAAGAGCGGCGTCTGAATCAATTTGGTACGGCATTTTTAGTTAGGTGTGGCAAAAGTTCGACAGAGTCTGTCGAACTATTGTCAAACTTAACTTAGGCTTGACACATGGTGCACTGTCTGAATCAGATATCATGCCAGTGTCACTCCAAAGTCAAACTTATTCAGCTAGGTTCGGCACATGAAAAGTACAGCGTCTGAACCAGGCCTGATCCGATTCTTAATGCTAGTAAGTGGGGATGCTTTTTTGACTGGTGCTTCAACAGAACCAATATGAAAGATTGTGCTTGTAATGAAATATTAAAAAAGGCAAGAGCTGCACTATGAAGCCTTCTTAGGGGGGTAGGTATTTTCCCAGTCTGAATTTCATTATGAGGAGTAGGCCATGTCCTTATTGGTATTTAACCGATCTTTATGTCATTTGTTGCCATTTCATCAGTCTTATGTTGCTTTTTCAATGCCATGCCACTGGTCAGAATTTTACCCCAACAGGGCCTCTATTATATGGAAATCCAGGACTTCCCCCAGATCTCAGTTTTTATATTCCTAATATTTTGGGTTTTTTTTTGTGTAGCAAGCACCACAAGAGTTTTGATCCTTTCCAAGAGCAGAAAGAAACTTCCTTCAAAGAACTTCAATCCTCAGCTGAGTCTCTGGCTCAGTTTCTCTGTGAAGCCATGGAGATGACTTCTGTAAACAGTGGAGATGGTGGAGGTGCCATAAAAAGTGTTTTTGACACTTTGCTCCAGGTACGTAAATTTGTAAGAAAAAAAAGTAGGGAATTTAATTTGCAGCCTTTCAGATATCTGATTTCATTGCATGATTTTGCCATGATTTATAATAATCAGAAACTCATAAAGGGTTGAATTGTGTAACTCCCATATGTTTGCTTTGTTTGATGCTCGTGAACATTCATTTTCACAAGTACTATATTTGGAACAAGAAGAAAAGATAAAAAGAGAGAAGGGATGATTTATGAAACTCAGCTCAGTTTTACATGACATAAAGGTTAAAATGTTTACATAGGCAGTTAAACACAGTACCACTATTAAAAAGGAATAAAAGAAAAATTATAACAACAAAATAGAGAGCGAGTTGGGATCATCCAAATAGCAATGGCTAATCTAGTGGATGATCCCTGCAATAACTGACCAATAGAACTTCGTAAATGACTCGAAGTAATTTTACTCCAGGTTCCTTTGCCTGCTCAGAAAAAAGGGAGATTAAGCAAAAACTATGGCTTTGAAATTTCACTTAGAAAGTGAATTTACGCTGCTTCCAACTTCATCGTGCTTATTTTTTTTCATTCAGTTCGTGAAATATTACCAATTTAATGTTTTTGGAGTTGAATTCTAAAGACTGTATCAAAGTTCAGGAAAAGAAAAAGAAAGTTGTTATCTTGTGTTTTTGACCTCATGAAATAGGGCACTTTCACATTGTAGTCATGCAGTGACAGCAAATAAATGTACAAAAAAGTGTGATGCACATGAAAATTTGTTGTTAAACCTGTTGCTTTCCAAATATGGTACTTAGACAAACGAATATTCACAAGAATTGAACGTGAGCTACATGTTTCTACCCCTAATGAGTTTTTGTTGATGTCAAAAATAAAAATAATAATCATACACAGTCAAATAATCTGTAACAAATTTCCTCTCGTATTAAAAATGCTAAACAAATAAACATTTTTCTCTGGGAACGTCATGACAAAAAATAAAGCTCTTGAAATTTCTAATGTTGGTGTGAAATAATGGACAATTATTATTATTAAGCATATTATACTCTCAACTGTAAAAATGATGTGATTTGCAGCCTTGAGGTCCTTTTCTGTTGCATAATGTGGCCTCCTGGATGCTTACCATAGTATAGGCTAAGGGTTTCAGGGTCCCAGTTCTGTACCCCACCCAGAATTTCCTTGATTACTGTCTCCCCACTTGAACACAATACCCCACCTAGCCTAACTATAACTAACTGAAAATTGTGTTATTAGATTCCCAGTCTTTTGAGATTTTTACGTTATTTTCCTTTTTTGATTATTCTCTTTCAGTTTTGTTTGTGGGGAAACCGCTGTGATCTTTCCATCTCAAGTGGAGAAATACTTGGACAACAAGGGCCTGCAAAGGCTGCCCATCTTGAACACTTGAAAGGAAACATTATTGTTGACAATTTGGAGGATGTCTGGAATGCAATTCACAGCAACAAAAATGCCAGAATTGATTTTGTCCTGGACAACTCTGGGTTTGAACTTTTCACTGATCTCTGTTTTGCTGAGTTTTTATTACATGCAAAACTAGCAGAGAAGATTCATCTCCACCTAAAACAAATCCCATGGTTTGTTTCTGATGCTAGCAAGAAAGATCTTCTTTGGATGTTTGAGGAAATGAAGTTATCTTCAAACAAGTTCTTACAGCAGCTTAGTGAAGGATGGCTTAATCGCATTCAAGATGGCTCAATTGTCTTAGAAGATCATCAGTTTTGGACGCTGGCACAAGATTTCAGCGTAATGAAAAGTGTGGCCCCTGACTTGTATGACCATCTGTCAAAGGCCAAACTGGTATTTTTCAAAGGTGATTTGAATTATCGAAAATTGGTTGGTGATCGTAAGTGGCCTCACACAACTCCATTTGTAGAAGCACTGTGGGGATTTTTGCCAGCTCCATTGTGTTCGTTGAGAACTCTCAAGGCAAATGTACAAGTTGGGTTATTCTCAGGACAAGATGGAAAGCTTGATGCTATTAGTAAGGAATGGATGACATCAGGTAGTTTTGCTGTGATCCAGTATGCTCAACCTTAACTACAGTCTGGACTTTGTACTGACTCCCCTCCTCCTCTATTCAAGTCACAGAGTAGAGCTTTGTCAAAAAAATTAAATCGTTCCTTCAAAACCACTAATTCCACTCTCTGTGAGTAGAAAAACACAAGTTGTAAAATGAATTGTACATCATACCCTAAGAAAATAAAGTAAGATTTAATTTTGCCTTTATTCCTTCTTTGAGTTAGTTAACAGTTTTGATTTATTTTCAACTAAATGAAGGAAAATATATATTGCATTTCCTACTGTCAGCAGCTAACAGTGTTGTACAGAATTTCTTTCACATTATTTTATTAATCATATAGGATTAAAACTTTTTGTCTGTATCTTTAGGCATTATGTATTACTTAAACTATTCTAAGAGTCAGTGCAGTTCAGCTTAATAAAATTAATTAGTAGATAATAGCTGGGATTGATAGAAAGTTATTTTTCATAATGGTGGTAATACTCAACAAGTTATCAGTACCATATACTATGTAACTTGTTACAACAGGCTGTATGTTCTGATATTTATTTAGGACAGTCACAAGCTCTTTAAAGTAAACTTTATTGTAGCATATACAAGAAACTTATTTACTTTCTTGCTGGGAAAAGGTATTTATTTGAAACCACCATATTTATCATTAGCAAAGTCAAAGTGCAGCATGAAGAATCAGTGAAAGATTCCTGCAATTACTTTTTTTACAGAAAGGTCATCTTTGCAGCGGAAAAATGAAGAATTTTTCAGAACAAAATCCAAAATTGAAAGATGTTTTTTGGCAACCTTTTTTCTACTCAATGTTCTCAAAATCACTAAAAAGTTACCTTTAAAAATTATTTTTTTTGTTAATCTATTGGGCAGCCACTTAAAATCCTGCCAATGGATGAAGAGCAGACAATATTGATGTCAAAATATCGTCCACTCGAAAGCTGTAAATGCCTGACTTTTTTTTTTTAAAAAAAAGTGCCTTTGTTAACTTTTAACTTAAACGACAAGCATAAACAAAAAAGTTAACAATTTTGCATTTTGTTCTATGAAAAATGAATGCAAAAACTTAGTTTTTCTGCTCTTTTTAACTAGCAGAGTTGAACTTTTTGTAAAAAAGTAGAATTGACGTAAACTTTCACTGATTGTGAAGGTATACATATTTCTTAATGTTGTACCCTGTTATAAAAAAGCTTAATAATTTTATTAAACTGCTTATAATGGTGATGGTCAAAATAACAACATTGGAAAACTTTTCTATTTCATCCAAATTTGCCAGGGAAAATCTTTACTATTCATACTTTTATCATCATCACCATCACTGCCTTCTCCGCAAGGCTATGGAAACGGGGAAATTTTTCAGTTGTTTGTGCGTGTGTGTATCAACCCTTTGAAAGGGGTGAGATTATTGATGCTCATCTTGAAGATTGAAATGCACTCAACAATGTTTTGTGGTACATTGATATTCTATGGTATTTAGCATTTTTTTGTTATAATAAAAAATTGAATCGTCTCAGAGTATGAGGTGTAAAGTTCTGTTTTTTTTAAAAAAATAAGAAAATTGCAAATAGCTTTAAATTATTAGTGGCAATATTTTTTTTGGGCCTTGAGGCGAGAATTTTATGTATGAAATGACTGAAGTGCATTTTGTAAAATCAGTGCACATTCGATTTTCAGTTTCTTAAAATACTAATTTTTCAATTTAGATTTCTATATTATCAGTATAATTCTTCTAATTTTATATACTACAGTAAATACGGAGCAACAACTGTGGTACAAAACCTGTGTAATGAAAGTCTCACTTAGCCTAGAATTTATCTAAATTGTGCCTTAACTACTAAAAATTTAGATACAAATATTATTATAGTGAGCTTAGGCCCAGTTCAGATGCCGAACCTAATGCATGGAATTAAGCACATGTAAAGTTCAGCTTCTGATTCAATAAGAAATTTCTATTTCAATTTGGAATGGCTCAGCTATGCTTCCCACATAGCCTGGCCAGGGATTTTGACATTGATGTGACTTTGGAACAGCTTTGATTCAGATGCCAAACTTTTCATGTCCTAATGTATAAATGATTATGGCGTATTTTGCAAGTAGTTTTACTGAAATGAGCATTTTTCTCCTTTTGAATTTTTTTTTGGGCTGGAATTAAGATCAGCATCTGAATCAATTCAGCTGATCTAAATAATTTGGGTTGGCCACAGTAATTTGAATTAGGTTTGGCTCATGAAAAGGTTGACATCTATACTAGGTGTTACACAACCGGACAGCAAAAAGAAGTACATCAAAATAGCCTGGGACCAGGCTCCTTAGAAGGGGGAAAAGGCAAAAAAAATAGGCATGAGAAACGTGATTGGGCTATTATGTTACATTACTTGCATGTTTTGTCATGATCTTCTCTTGTTGTATCTTGGTGTTTTCTGGTCTTTATATAGAGATGTGTTTAAGGGAAAGTGTTTTCACGCTTGTCACACAAGGTTTGCCTTCTACTTTCCCCTGTGTCCTGTTGCATAAGTTCACCAATAATCAGAGATTTTTTTCTCTTGTTAATTTTATGATCAACTACTATACTTTTTCATTTCGTGTTACTATGTTCAGTTGATGGAGTGATTTGAATAAAAGTTGGTAAAAAAGACATGTTTGTTCCTGTGATCACTGAGCATAACTTGCTAGTTTCTTCTCAATTTCATCAATACTTGAGAGCACATTAGTCAGCTGAGATTCATCCATTTCAAACTGGAAAACATCAGTTTCCTGAAAGAAAAGAAATAAACATGAGGACCTGGTTCCCCTGTTATTGTTCTGAACAGCCTACAATGCAGTTTTAAAAAAGTTCAGATAATTAGAGTGACTCATTGGTTTCCATAATTTATAATCACCTCAATTGTCTGAGTTTGTGGTCATCTCCAAAAATTCTTGAGTCTAATATTATTTCTTTACTTGAGTATGTTGTAGTTAATATTTTATCTCGGTAATATTTATTTTTCTTTTGTTTCAATTTCATTAGCATACATTACCGTACCCCCAAACAAAAGAAAAACAAAATTTACCTGAGATAAAAAAAATAACTACAACAAAAGCATTCAACAGAAGAAAAATAATGAATGCTGGGATAGAATTTGATCACGCTGATCATCTGAGAGCACTCTTTGTATGGCCACTTGCAATTTTTCACTATTGTTGCAACCATCTAGATAGATGTGAGTTTTATCCAAATGAATGCAATCCCCAAACTGATTGTTTTGCTTAAAAACCATATCCTTGACAGAAGCACAAACCTATTATAGTCCTGCAAACTAAATTGCGAAAACCCCCCCCTTGAGGACCCAAAAACCTATTATAGTCCTGCATGAAAGCAAAAAGAGACCTTTTCTGAAGGAGGGAATGTGTCTCTCTTTTTTACCTGGAGTTGACGGTGGTGGATATTACATAAAAGTGGCTAGAGGAATTCCCTCTGTTTCCTTATTTTATGCCAACATGTTTTGGAACACCTAAGAGCCTCATTCAGTGAAAATAATAATAATTTTGGCTTTAACCCCCACTCCCCTTTTCTCTGAACTTTGGTAGTCGTATTCCTGTGTATAGGAGAGGCAGCATTGAAAAACGGCACTAATTATTGCAATCCAACTTTCTGACCACTCAACAGGGTACACTTTTTACCTCTGACTCCGAAACAGGGTATAAAAATCATGCTTTATTTCTGGAAAATGGTACATATTTTTACTTCAGTTTGACTGAAACAGGGTTGATTATTTCCCGTAATCACTGAGTATTCTCAATCAAGCTTTAAATAGGTACTTGACATAGTTAAAGAATAATCAAACGCATGACAATAACAAGGTGTCCATATTTTTTGGCTTTTTGTCTGGAGCAGGATTCCTATTTTTAAAATTTTGGTCTGGAACAGAGTGGCAAATCATTTCTGGTCCATTGTCCAGAGTCGGCACCAAACCTAGACTTGCTAAAAGTCAACCTCAAGAGTTTCTTAGTGAGTGGAGCCAGCATTCTAGGCTGCAAAGCAGCCAAGCAAGTGGCAAAGTCATGAGAGGTTGACTTGTCTTGCTTGAAGGTTTTCTATTTGTGTTTTGTGCCAAAACTGGGAACTGGCATGACTCGTATTTGGAGTTTCAGGTTACATTTGCGAGTCCTTTCCACCTCTGATATATATAATCGAACGTGTGTCAAAAAGGGCAAATATTTTATTTACTTTGTGCTAGAGTTTGTCCACAAACAAAGATTTCAGGTGTAAGTTAACGAACTCAGGTGGGAAGAAAAAAACCAACACTTGTTTTAATCTCGAGTCAATGTTTTGAAGGTTTTTTGACAAATATTTTGTGCTAATAAGAACGAAACCCTTGTTTGGAAGCTTCATGAAGTGAGGGAAAGCTTTGAATAGTCAGGGGAGGCTATTGCAGAGGAGAAAGGAGGGGTAAACTAAAGCGTGTGTTTCAGATCATGATACTGGCGAGCGAGAGAATCACAGCAACAAAAGAGCCCTGGATGCATTGCATGATGATCTCCCTTAGACCGACAGTTTGACCGCGGCACCCTTATGCAAAGATGCATCCAGGATTTCCATAAGGAAGAGAGTACACTAGTTTCTCTTTTAGATTTAAAAATCCTATAGCTGTTTTTCTGAGCAATCATCTCCTGGGCATGATGCTCTAAGGTCACAGGAATTGAGATTTGAGAACTGATCTATCATAAGAGAAATAAGCGGAACAATCACCAATATGATGGCATTGTAATGCTCACCAAAAAAAGGTCGAAAGTACATGGAGCCTGCTCATAAGGCACACTTTTACCAGCTCCGGTTGGAGCTGGCACAAAAACATCTCTCCCTGACAGATACGCTTTGATTGTTTTCCTCTGAATATACTGTGGATTTTATCACTTTTGCAATGGACAAGTCTTGCTTTAATGCGCTTAATTACCTCTGAGTGACAACTTTATCCCCAAGGGTCCTTAAGAACTACTTTGATTGATATAAGCACACCAACCCATTTTTGGGTTGCTAACACTGGCACCAATCTATTATGAAAAGCCCTTCATCCCCCACCATATTAAGTCAGATGAAGGACTTTTTTGAAAGTCTACGGCACACCCCCACATTAAACTAAAGGGAGTAGTCCCCCTTCCCCCTTCCGGGTGTTGCCCCCACCTCTCTCCAATAGAATCAGCAAGGACATCTTACCTTATTCTCTGAGGTCCTTTTTTCCACTTGCATTTCTACAATTGCTACAGGAGTGTTAATCTGTTGAAGATGTCTTGCTTGGCTTTTCAAATCAATCCTCCAGTTGATGTCTTTCAATTTGTTATTCCAGGAAGATTTCTGCACTAGCACGTCATGTATCTTTGTCTTTTGTGATTTCCAGAACTTTAAGAATGCTGCAGCTTGTCCCTGAGTTAGAGCACCTTGTTTGCGCTTCATTTGGGAAGTAAGAAAAGCTTCGAGCTGATTAAAATCCATGTCTGCGGAAACGATATTTCGCATCAAAGTCTCGTATTTCTTCAACATTGATTGAAACTGTTCCTCTTCGAGATCCGCAAAAAGTTCCTGATGAAGAAATTCGTTCGTAATCTCTGATTCTCCGAAATAATCTCTTCGTGCAATGCCATTTAACAAAGCAACTACATTCTTGTCCGCCGCAGCCATCTTGGAATCTAGTGGGATGTTTCGTGTCAGATACATGACGTGACATATTAGGATCGCAGTAGTTAGTCAGCGGCTGTGTGAATGCCAATGAAGTACTTCATGTCAGAACACTGGCAGTGTTAGATAATCGAAGTCGAAGTGTTGAGAAAATCAGCTGTAACATGTTAAGATCAGCTGTGAGCAAATCTTTTCGTTCCTGCACTCACTTTCTGAAGCTTAGGATCTGTTCTATATGCTCCACTGCTGGCAAGGATGCAGCAGATTTCTACGATATTACAATCGTTGGGGGTGGAATGGTTGGTGCAAGTCTGGCCTGTGCCTTAGGTGAGTGAGTTTGCTGCGAGACCACGTACACATGTTTGCCCGCCATTTCTTGGCCAAATAATATTATTTTAGACTTATCTCCTGGGGTTAACCAGGGCAATTAACCCATGATTTGGCCTGGTACATGGTACATGTGAACTGACTTTTTTAACTGACTCATCCAAACCAGTGCCTTGAATCTTTCATTGTTCTTCACCAGAATCTCAGAAATATCTTGAAAAATATAATCCTCAGCATACACCTTGGAAATCTTTAGTTTTTCAGGTGCGTCTTAGTTGTCTCCCATAGCAGGATCTGAAAGCGGTATTTTCGCGATCTGGGATTTGACCAAAATACAGTGTTGGAGTTGGAAAAATGCAAGATATCTGTTCAACCAAGGCAGCAGGATTCGCCAAAGTTTGGGCACAGGGTGCAGGATTTTTTTCTTCTGTATATTGGGAATTCAGGAAATCATACATTTGAACAGCAAATACTAATCAACCAGGTGCACATCAAGCGGTGTCTCCTTACAAACCAAACTATAGAGTGTGCCTTGTTACTTAGTTTCGTTTTATAGTATTGTTTTTGGAAACCCCAAAAGGAATTCAGAAAAACCATAAAAAAAATAGTGGGATGCAGGATATTGATGAAAAAAGAGCAGAAATGTGGATTGGGATCCCCCCCTAACCCCTCTTCCAGACACTCTATTTGGACAAACCAAGCTTCTTACCCACGGAAATAGCCTGTTTCAGGCTCTCAGATAGTGGGGATTAGTAAAAGTTAAAAACTGCGTCACTTAGTGGAGGTGGGTGCCCGGGATGTCCATTTTTCCTTAAGCTTTAATAGCCAGACTACATGTAACTGTTAGCATGGATACTCTTATTAGATGCTTGATGCTTGATTACCCAACTCATTTTCCAGGGAATGAGGGTACCTCTTCTGGTGAACCATGCAGGGTAATTTTGTTCCTTGTTTTGTTGCTGGACCAACACTCAGGGTCTTTAAATAACTGAGAAGAAAGTGCTGCCTTTGTAATGACATCTACAAACGGTCAGACTTTCTAGTCTTCTTGGATAACTATCAAAAACCCTAGGTCCTGTCTCACAGCACTTTCAGATCTGGTTCTTATGGGATGCAAAAGAACTCACATGATCGTTTGAAAAGAGTAGGGGACATAGACCCCATTGGTGTGGTCAACCTTTCCTGGGCTGGGTTGGTTATCCGTAAGGAGAGTTTTTGACATAGGGATAACCTCATGATCCTCGTTCTCTTGTGATACTGCCTTTTAAAATTTAACAGCTATCAATCCTTGTTCTGGTTTTATCCATGTAGTTTATTTATTAAGTTATTTTGTAATCTGCTTTTGCATCTTTTCCACAAGGTCTTGAAAGAACATTAGATGACCATAAGATTTTGCTACTTGATGCTGCTCCAGACAAAGCAGAAAACATAACTTCCATTTACAGTAACCGTGTTAGCAGCATCACACCAGGATCTAAAAAACTTCTGGAAAGTAAGTTGAAGTAATATATCAAACATGAGATGCAGTGTTTCATCACCAGATGAAACACCGCGAAGAGAGTTGAAAATACGACATGCAGCGGAGTATTTTTGACGAACTTCGAGGTGTTTCATCTGGTGATGAAACACTGTGTCGAATGTTTGATATTTCTTCTCAAACAAAATCATTTTTGAAGGAGAAATTAAGGATGCAAATACTAAGCAGTGTTTCATCCGATTTCCAAACACTCATTAAACATTAATTTCCTTTGTATTTTCTTAATGAATTATTAATGAGTTTGAGAAGGCACTATTACAATGATTTGTATTTTGTAATATTAATAAATTAAGGTGCTAGTCATTAACATTTTGTAATCTGTGTAGCCTGGAACCTTCTGATAAAATGCAAAAAAAAAAAAAAACAAATTAAGTCAAATACTGGTATGCAGAATTTTCCATTGGTCAAATTATTTTGATGGGTACATTTATAAACTCCCATGCCCAGAACTAAAATACAAATGAGTATATTGCTGAAAGTGGAAGGAGCCTAATTGTTCCCTTTTTAGCTAGTATACGTAGTATGCCTGTGCATCTAAGCCAACCTCTGATCTGTTCAGCTAGTGACTCTGTTATTAACAGTCTTCTTGCTTTGAAAGGTATTGGTGCCTGGGATCACATTTGTAACATAAGACACAAGCCATTTCGCAGAATGCAAGTAGGTATCTGATGATTATTAGAAACAGCTTTCCATTTAAAAGTGCACCTCTCCATCTAAATTTGTACTTGTTAGATACTGTAGGTTTAATTTGTTGGAATTTTCCTTTTTAATTCTGATAACCAGCTAGAAAAAGCTCTTACACATGTAGGTGGAACATTGGATTCTTAATTTCATATTTGCAAAAAACATCTCTACTGTGGCAATCTAAAACATCTCATTCTGGATTTTTACAGTAAAATATTATTATATCACTTTTTATAGTAGCTAAAGAAAAACTTCACAAAACAATTTGGAGATGTCTTTGCAATATCCCTAGAAACACAATACATGATGTATATATAGTAATCTTCAGAAGTTCTACCAAAGATGATTTATTACAATGGTAACACCACAACAATAATACCTGCTTGAGATCCAAGGCTTTAGGTAAATCTTCACAGTAACAAAAAATTCATGACCGTGATACTGTTTAATTTTGTGTTGTCATTAGGTCTGGGATGCATGTAGTGATGCACACATTTCATTTGATTACTCAAGTACCATTGATGATGACTCAACAGATATGGGATTTATTGTAGAAAATCCAGTAACCATTGCAGCTCTTAAAAAGCAACTGAAAGTTCTTGATTCGAGAGTAAAAGTTCTTTATGGAACAAAGCTTTCAAGGCTGACTCTTCCAGATTTAACGATGGATATGGTATAAAATTAATATACACTTGCTATCTTTTTCCTTCACTGATAAATGCGTGTAGCTTCTTACCTTAATTGTCTTGTCTATCCACTTGATATAATAGTACCTTAGCAGAAGAAATCTTTTGAATGCAAGGGATAATCTATATAGCTATAGCCCAAATCTTGAAAGTGAAGTTTTACCAGTACTACTATACATGCAGTTTTGAATTTAATAATGATGATAGTAATAATAATAATAATAATAATAATAATAATAATAATGATAATGATAATAAACTTTATTTATATAGCGTCTATATCATTATTAATAACTGTTTTAGACGCTTTACAATGTATTAAAACTCTAAAATATCTAACAACTATATATATAAGTATGAAAATTAAATAAAAATCTATTTATGAATTTAAAAAAAGCTTGGTGAAATAAATATGTCTTTAAGTGTTTTTTGAAAGAATTCAAGAAATTGGCATTTCTTAAAGATGCAGGTATGCTGTTCCATAATTTAGGTCCTGCGATAGAAAATCTTTGATCACCATAAGACTTAAGCTTAGATCTCGGGACTTGAAGTAACTTATTCGAGCAAGAACACAAATGGTAAGAGCTGCTACAAAAACTGAGCAAATTGAATATATAACTTGGAATTTAAACATATCCTGTGTTCTCTATTAAGTAACCTCTTCAACCTTGAATACAGGTCTGTACTGTGGGATTAGCTCACTTGGTAGATTATGCTTGACTGCAGAGCAGCCAGGAGGTCGTGGTTTTGATTCCTAGGACTGACTAATACTCAGCGTATTGAAATAACTGAGAAATGGAAGGTACTTCCTTTGCCCTGCAAATGGCTGGACCTTCACATGGCTGCGATGACTACGTAAAAATTGCAGTCCTCTCTCCAGAAGGAGACATAAAATAGTGTCCACAATAATACCTATCTATGTGCTAAATACATTGACACTCAAATAAAGTACTTTTTTCCTGCCACAGATGTAGGGGGAGGATGGGGGAGACTCCTTGGGAACCATCTGTACTCTTTGTACCTTTTGTATGCCATATTATAATAATATAAACTTTACATCTGTTTGTAGATACATGAAGATTCCTCTGCTCAAAATCCTATATTAATTTGCACTGGTTTTATAAATCTCCTTAAAGAAAAAAAGTTATTAATGTATTAAGTTAACCAGTTTAATCCAAGATACTAGGGTTCATTTATGGCTTAAACTTTGCTTTTAATCCTGGACTTGTACAAGTGAGTGAGGGTTATTTTTCTTGATATAAAAGTCAGGTAAAGTGATAATGTTTTTTATTTTTATTTTTGTCATTATAATTATTTTAAAGGATTCTGAAGATGTTGGTCATTCTTGGGCAAAATTAGAGTTGGAAGATGGGAAAACAGTGCATTCAAGATTAGTGGTATATTATTTTTGAATGATGAATAAAATTATTATAATTTGAAGCCTATAAGTATTTTAATTAATAATATTGTCACAACTGGATCAAAGCTATTTACAAAAGATACATAATGATTATTTATTTATGACCGCATAGGAGGGATAGTGTTTGAAGCAGCTCTTTCAAGACTCTTTTTTTAGTGTCCTATATAATTTTCGTAGTCAATTCACAAAACAAAACCAACTTTTATATCTCTCAATTTACTTGGTAAAAATGACTGCATTAATTTTTTATTGGAAAGGTAGGAGCTGACGGACCACAGTCTTCAGTGCGAAAGCAAGCCAATGTGGAGTGTCTTTCTTGGAGGTATGATCAGTCTGGAGTAGTGGCAACTCTTCATCTTGGTGAGGTAACCTTTGAAAAAATGAGTTAATTCTAGCCTGTTATGTAGTAGATGCTGCAAAGAAAAAGCTAGAAAATTCAACTAGGCAGGTGGATTGGGATTCCTGGACGGGTACTCCTGATTTCAAGTGACAGGGATAATTGAAGGGTTTGAAATTTTCAATTCCGGGATTTTTTTTTTGGGGGGGGGGTAGGAAAATTTGGCAAGTACCTTTTTGGGTGGGTTGATTTAAGTAAGGACTTTTTTGGGTATTCAAAACAATCTGAAGTTTCATGGTAGCACCTTCATGTCTTTGCCGTGTAGTTCTGTGAATTGGGTACCACCAAACTTGTTAAGGCTTGGAAATTCGGCATGGGATTTTTGGGGGGTTAATTTTTGTTCAAGGGATTTTTGGGAGTTATGCTGGAAGCCCTAGGGAATTTTTGGGTTTTGACATTTGCCTCCATTCGCTCATCACCATCACTGGAAATCCAGAGTACTCCCTTGGGGATGGGGACAAAAGGAGAAGAAAGGGAAATTAAGGGCAATTATTCCATCTCCTGATTCTTGTTTCCATATCACCTGCACCAGGAGAAGTATTTTTTCCTGAACACCAGGCAAGTTGTTCAAAAGGCAGACACGGCTCTATACCAGATGAATCATCACTATTCAGTGGCTAAAACTGTGTTTTAGGATAACCAACTACATTATCCATTGCATAGATGTTTTTTCACTATTGATTCCTTTGATTTTATAAGCAATTCTCCCTTTCACATGCAATGCAATTTCGATTCTAGCAGTTCATGGGAAGTCCAGTGGTGGATCTAGGGGAGGGCCTCCCCCCCTATTTTTAGACCAAACTGAGGCCTCTTGAGCCGAAACAAAATTATTTTTGGGACACCTCCACCTTATCTCAGGGTCAGGATGACTGCGCCCCCACCCCCCCTCCCTTACCTAAAGGTCTGGATCCACCACTGAAGTCTCCAGAGGTTTTTTTGCAGGCCCCCCCTTCATTATTATAACTCATTAATTTTCAGATAACAGAGAATGTGGTCGCATGGCAGAAGTTTTTGCCCACAGGACCCATAGCACTCTTACCGGTAAGAACAACAATACTGTTGATGTTCTCATAATTAAGTGACCACCTCTGGAATCCATTAAAGTGGATGTAACTAGAGCTGATTATTTACGAGAATCAGCTCACACTATTGACCATGTGAAAAAGTTATTAAGCGTCGTTGGTTATGCTTGGTATACGTTGCTTATGGCCATGTTTTTAATGCTGGTCATTGTAGGGAGAAAGTGAACTTGTATTTAATAAATTTGAATGTCCTTGCCAGTTGCTAAGTGCAATGATTAGTTACTCATGTGTTTTCTGTTGAAGTTTTTGTTGCTGTTGTTTTTTTTTTCTAAGGAGCATAAACAGAACTGAATTGTGTTAGGCTTTAAATTTAATTAACTTAAAAAATCGCCACCTCTTAAAAAAATGTGGCATATTTTGGTTTTTGTCCTCTATGCAGTGAAATTCTAAATGAACATTCATTTTTACATTTCTCTGGCTTAGTTAACAGAAAATCTGAGTTCTTTGGTGTGGTCAACAAGTCCTGAACATGCTAAACAGCTTGTTTCTATGGAGGAAGACCGATTTGTTGATGCTGTCAACAATGCATTTGTAAGTTTGTACTTATACGTTTTTTGGTTCACAAGCTAAGGCATTTTGTGAGAGGCTCCTAATTTCTTGGTTCCTGAAAACCACTTACATGTATGTGAATGAAAGTTTCCTGATAAAACACTACTTCAATCATTTTTATTGAAAAGTGGGAAGATTTTGAGCGTCATCCTCTCGTGGATCAAGCAACAAGACTTTCACATCTGTTAGCTTCTGTTGTTCAGCCATGGACAAGTAAGTGCCCAATAGTATGTTTTTCTATAGTGCTATCTTAATTTTGTTCCACTTTATAGTCAACTACCATTATTTTAGCCAGACACCATAGGTGTCGAGAGTAGAGTCTGTAGGAGATAGCCTGCAAGCAAGCTCTCTGGGGTGCCCTAGCCTGCGTAGCAGGGTCGAAAGGGGTAGGGGATAGGGAATAAGGGAGGGGGGTAGTGCTTTTCTCCCTCCACCTCTCCCTCCCATTTTTGCAACTGCCACGCAGGCTAGGGGCGCCCTGGCGGTGGGGCAGGAAAAGGAAGGAGAGCTTGCAACCTCGTCTCTGGAATCAGAATATCTGCATCAAGAGAGTCGATGCTAAATGCTGATTGGCAGAGATGACAAAAGTAATGATGTCATTACCCTTGGCACTTGCTTTCACGTGTTTTTCAATATTTTTTCACATTTGCATTCATTTCCACTTTGCACTGATTGGCGGAAATCTGACAGCTCGGTCAATGGGGAGCCACAGGGGAACAGAGACGTAGTTGCAAGCTCTCCTTCCTTTTCCCGCCTAGCCACTTAGGAGCTCAGAAAGTGTCCACAGGCCTTTTAGAGTTGGAGTCTTTAACAATGGGAGTATGTTTCAGTCAATCGTCCAAAAGGACGTCACAAAGCAAGAGTTTACCAAACTGGGGCAAATGAGCCAATACTCATGCAGGCAATAATAGAGACCTTACGATACACCGTTTCTGTGTACGGGTACGGGTAAATTAGCCATACACATAACCGTAAATACGATTAGATTGCCTCTTACCCAAAAGAAACGGGTAGGCTACTGGATATAATGGTTAAGCCATCATCACATCTGGTTAATCATGGTTGCCTTTTATAAAACTACGAGGTAAACATGTTCACTTACCCGTACCTGTAAACAGTGTCCCCTTAAGGTCACTATTATTATGACAAATTTTTCTGTCTTTCAGAAATTTGTTTTAAAAAAGGTTTCCCTGTTTTTCAGATGATTCCAAACTGATTTTTTGTCAAGGTTTTTTTCAAACCCAAGAAAAAACCTCTAAGTGATAATATTTTTTTGAGTGAACATTGAAGCAAGTTGTGCAAAAAGCTAGCATTTTTTACCTGAAGTAGAAATTGGCACTTAACGCTTTAATCCTCTTTATGAGTGATTCACCATGACTTTATACCACTGTCTACTACTGCTGTAATATCATAATCCTGGACTAATCTATGGCGAGATTATTTGTTTCTGTATTAGTAGCTTTTAAATCTTTGGGTAAAAGTGTATGGTGTTGCCATTCAAATGAAACCTCTTTGGTAAACTGCTATTTTTTTTTTCTTACGATTTTACAAAAAGAAATTTTGAGACATCATACCACTTGTAACATATTAGTAACGAAGGGTTTATTCTTACTAATTCGTTTTTCCTTCACTCAGCATCTGTCACCCAGTCTCCACCGAGCGTTAGTGGAGTGGAAGAAAGAAGTCGCGCTATGTTTCCGTACGGCTTTGGTCATGCAACAGAATATGTCAGGCCAAGGCTGGCTTTGATTGGGTAAGACAGCGCTGTACTTGTAATCCATTACTTTCAGTGCGCAAAGTCATGCTGAGCTAATTTACAAAAGCGCGACACTGACTTTTGTCATAAGTAAATGGAGTAATATGATCGTCGGGTGAGTGAAGTCCTGAATAGGAATGTTGTTTACACGACTCCAGGGCTCAAACCATTCACTGTGGTACCGACTTTGTGTCTCAACAATTGTCATTAATTGTGTTAAAATATCGAAAAGAACTCATCAGTCATTGCAAGGTCTATAAACTCTGGTTTGTTTCACTTTTTAAAAGGGCACAATTCCCAGCTAGGCAAGGACTTCCTTGAAGTTAATATCTTGCTTTTCAAGTATCACTCCTTGCCACTGATTAGTCTCTGGTTTATAAACCCCAACATGCTCTAATACCTTTGTATACTCTGTCGCAAACTATTGTACTTCCTCAAGGCAAAGCTGTCACAGTGGTTAACTACACCACAGGCGGTCTCTTTTTTCTTAGCCTGCTGAGCAAAAGATGCACAGCGGCTCCAGTCAGGCGAGTGGCCATTTTCTACCTTCAGTGAGAGTAGAAAATAGCCTCGCGAGCAACTGGAGGCGATAGACGGGGGGTTGTTGACAGTTGTCCCTTAACCCTTCAAGCATAGTAAATCACTTTGGTATGCTACGAAGTAGCACACAATTCATTTCCACTGGCTTTGGGAGCCATCTTTTATTTTCCTTCTTGGGTTGACACCTCGTGCATCTGGTGGCTGCCACCATGCCAGCGCACCTGGCACCCCATCCACTTTGAAGAAGAATAAGAGACTAACTGGAGTTCCCAGTGATGAACACAAGTGCAGGCTGGAGTACTCTAGTGGCGGGGAAGGAGAGGGGGATTGATAGACTGCGAGCGGTCTCCCTTCTTTTTTCAGAGCCAGGCTCGGCGAGTGAAAATTGAAAATTATGAAAGAGGAGGAGAGATTGGTGCGGAAAAAAGAAAAAATGCTCGCAGTCTAAGCAGACTAAATGTTTAAGGGTTGGCCCTGTAAATGATTTTTTTGCTGGAACTAAAGCTTTAAAAATAATATTTTAGCACATATTGAGTAAAATTTTGTTGCTTTTGTTAAACTAAGTGACGCAGCCCACAGAGTGCACCCTTTAGCAGGACAGGGTGTTAATCTCGGGTTTGGCGATGTTGCTTGCTTGAGAGATGTTTTGTGTGAAGCTGCTGAAGAAGGAAAAGACATTGGTAACTTTTTTTAAATATTTGTCGTTGTTTGTTACTCGTAAGTGGAGACATGAACGCACTAGAAAGTGCTACCATGACTACAGGGGAACCTCAATGTAACAAAGTGCCAAGGGACTGTCAAAATGTGCTCGCTGTAAAGAGGATTCGTCATATATAAGTTCTTTTTCATATATTACCGACTTTACTTGGGGATTTCTTGGGGACCACACTCAAGTTTTAAAACAGAAAGAAAAATTCGTTGTCGCTTGTTTACGTACTCCATAAAAGGTGAAATAAGAGATTTTCACTCCGTAATCGTGCAATGACGGCAAAGAAATGTACAAAAAAGTCTGCTGCACGTGCAAAGTTTCTGTTTTGCTTATCAAGCCTATTGCTTTTTTGAAGTTCTTTCTGCCGTCTCCGTCGTCGTTGCTGAAGCTCCCTACCAATAATAGCCACTGATGGCTTCTTGTAACTCTTCATTCTCATAATGTAACTCTTTAATCTTAAATGTTTTTTCAGGATGTTTGGAACATCTGTTAACCTATGAAACCAGGCGACAGCAGAGTGTTGTCCCCATGATTACTGCTATAGATTTTCTCAAGAGACTGTACTCCACCTCAAGCCCTCTGCCGGTTCTTGCTCGATCAATGGGCCTCGTAGCGACGAATGCTCTTGCTCCTCTTAAGGTAACACCTTCTTTAATGAACTTTAAAAAGTACTTGTAAGCTTAAGGGCGCTGTAATCCTGTTGCATAGGACACGCGACGAGACGTGATGTGTATCAGGCGAATGGAAAAAGAGTTAAGCCTGGGTCTTTTTTCTAAACTTACTATTTGCTCTTGTAAATTAGAAAATTCGCCCGAATTTTATATGACAAATACCTTGCCGAAAAACAACCGCAATTTTTTTGTGGCGTAGAAAGTTGTCCGCAAGCTGTTGACGGAAGGCATCCTGTGTATACATTAAGTAGTTTATTTTTGCCTGATAAAATATTCTCGCCTTTGCCCCTACACGTTCACTGTATAAGAACTCGACGGATCTAAGAGAAAAGGCGGACTCTACTTCGATCGCGGGAAATGTGAAACGAGTGTGAAAACACACAGAAGACTGAACACAAAAACGTCACTGATTATTTATGTTCAGCCAGATCAATGTCTCTTTACGCACTCGTAAGCTCATGTTGGCAGAGACCCAACCCTTAGAACAAGGTTGAGACGGGACGAATTTTTAAAAGTTTTCTGCCTTAACGGAGGAGAAAGTGTATTAATGTTGGCTTAGGACAGGGGTAGGTGATGATCCCCCCGGGATCTCCTTCGGACCAGGTAGGGGAGGGAGGTGGCTTTGTATGCATGTGCCTGTAGCTAACAAGGTTCTGTTTGCTATCAAGTGTTAACCGCACTTTGAGCCCGGCCGTAGCGTTAACTTTTACGTCTTATTTTTTCCTAGGAGGAGATCATTAGGTTTGCCACGAGATGATAAAGGACTGGACGAATACGATTCCATCTTTACACTTTCTTCCTACACTATAGAAATTTTGCAGTCAGCATTGACTCAACAAAATTTGAGCTACTACGAGAGGGGAAACAGCAAGAACGGTACAAAAAGCGTCTGTGTTGCAGTCTAACCGCAAAAAAAAGATGCAATGAATTAGAACAATCATGCGTTTTACATTTCGAATCCGCCCACTGTCTGCAAATCATTTTCAACAACGTCAAATTTGGTACAGAACTCAAAGACACATTAGTTGAGCTCTGCGAATATCAGGCCTGAGGCAATGAAGTTGAACAAGACATTTGAAGACATTTGTAAGAATGCAGCAAGCCCCTATTGTTATTAAAAATATTTGTTACGTCTCGAGTCGGCATTGTGTTGCTTTCTTTGTTAATAAAGGGAAACTAGGAAGAATTTACCCGCTAGATCTAAAGAGAATTCTAGTTCGCAGACTAATCACGACTGACGAACCAGATCAGTCTGTTCTCAAATAGACTAGTATGTTTGGCAGTTGTGGTTTTCAGGGAAAATTTCAAGAAAAGACTAATTCTTTCCTTTTATAATGACCGGTCCGTCTAGCCTGCGTCGCAGACACTAAACCTCTGTTTAGACGATGCGTGGGCTGGCTGCAACGCAGGCTACGGTCCGTCTAGACTACGAGCAGTGTCTTTTTTTTGGTCCATCGAGCGTTGAAAACGCGCGAGACACGTTCTCGGGCTGCCGCCCTCGTTTCTCGCGTCTCGCGGCTTCGCCGCTCGCGTGCGCGTACAATCCCGTCACTAAATCTGAGGAAAAAGAGAGACTGTTCGCAGTCTACGGTCCGTCCGGCCAGTTTCGACTCCTGGTAATTATAAGTGCCCTAAGATTATGCCTTAAATTCTAGCTGCTATCTTCGCGATACACGGCCAGGTCCCGAGACAAACTGTGGCTATCAAAACTAAGTGCAGAACTGCTTGCTTATCTCCCAGCAAGAGCTGGAGAGGTCGTCTCCGCTCTTGCAGGCCACAAGAGTTCCTCCAGTTTTTGTGTGGCAATTTTGCAAATTGGCCAGTCATTGGTAATCCAGTGTTAAATAATAAAGGGAGGAAATTTTCTTGCCAGAGGTACGGGTATTGTCAAACAACCGAATGGAATTGCCCCTATATGATAACAAAATAATTGCAGGAAAAACAGTAGGGCCATTTATACGAGGAAAAATAAGACGCGTCTTACATAAGACGCGTCTTGGCCACGCCCAAATTGCTTACCAGTGGATAGGGATAACACTCTCTCAGGAAAAAAACCCTTTCGGCCTTTTTGCAAAGTTTCTGACCATGCAGTACAACAACTTACCCTACTGCTTTTGAGCTCTGGCTGGTACCTTCGTGTGGTACTATTTTAAGGCCTTCCTTTAACAATTAATACTCAACAAAATTCATCTTTTTTCATTTATGAAAATAAGTTTAATTTTTCTGTTAGGTAGTTTCTTCGTGTTTACAGATGGGTGCGATCACCAAATGATGTAATTCAATAAATAAAAAAATCAAATAATACTCACACCACGACAAAATACCCCTAGGAACACCTACTACTGCCTCTTGATGTGACATTCAAATAAAAGCTACTGACAAGAACTAAATGGTGTAGCAATGGGCCTTCATTTTTTCTTCAAATTCAGCGTGCAAAGAAAGTCGTGTCCCAGAGCTGGAGGATTTTGCTATCAGGCTAGTAACTGCTGTTCTTAACCTTGGAGAATTCAAATTGCAGAAGAACTGAAATCGAAGCTGCTCATCAAAATTTTGGGGTGGGGGGGCTAGTTAAAATGAGCTTGGCTAGTAAAGCCTCCCCGATGGAGTGTTTTCACATGACGTCACGGCGGCCATATTGGTGTCCTAAAACAATAAAACGGCGGCCATGTTGGTGTCCCAAACCAGTCCTCTGGGAGTTGAACTCTTTTCTTATGCAAACGCTTTCTTTTGTTCCAATAAATTTGCATATATGCTGGCCACGTGAGTGAAAACACTCTATAAGGTTCTTCAATCCCATAATCCCAACCCAAAATTTCATGCAATCCCATAATCCCAAGGGTTATTAATTTGTGGTATTCCACCTCCCACGCATACTTTTAATCCCAAATATGGCCCCGATTTTTTTTTTAAATCTTGAGTCCCGAACTTCAAATAAGCAAAATCCTGAATCCGAAAAACCTAGTACATGCTAGCTACATCAGATAAGCTGCAAACCTGACTTTTTCTGCACCCTGAAATTACCGTTTGGAACAAAATAAACAATTTTTAAGATTCAAAGGTTCAGCCAGCTGAAATGGTACTGCTCCTACAAAGACCAAAATGGTCCCAACAAGAAAATAAATTAAATGGATTATAATCTTTTCAACATTATTATTTAATGGGCCTTGACTTTTGAACATTATACTACAAAAACAATAACAATAATCTGCCGTAAACCAGATACATTCCGTTTGGATTCAACCCCAGACAATTTCGCCAAGATTTTACAAATTATATGAAACTGAGTAAGATCGATGAAGTTTGAAACAGTGTGAATTCAATTTTTAATTGACATTTTCGATTTGATCTCACCCAGAAATTTTGCTACCACGGCAACGTCATGTAATGACTTTTCCTCTCTATAACAATGTAACTTCACATTATATTATATCATGGTACGAAAAATGCTTTAATACATGAAGTGGTACATTCTATTTCTGTACTTTTTTAGCATAGCTGATAGAGTGCTTTTATTTAAACCCATGAAACAAATACTAACAACTTATATGCAAAATACATGTAGCTACATGTATAAGTAAACAAACGAAGGCAATAGAATTGGTGCGTAAGATTGTGCAATAGTCTACTAACTATTTCACCAGATGAGTAAAATCACTCGAAAGGAAAAAAATAGTATTATTATTTATTAACATCTTATGATATGATTATCTCCTTGTAAATTTGAAATTGTAAATTGTAATTTGTTTACCCACGGAGCACTAAGGAGTTCATAAGAACTCGTTGAAACGTGTCCGTGTGTTCCAGATCGAATTGGAATTTGAAAGTGTTGGTTTTTAAGGAGAGGGGAAAACTGGAGTACCTGGAGAAAAACCTCTCTGAGCAAAGGAGAGAACCAACAACAAACTCAACCCACATATGGCGTCAATGCCAGGATTCAAACCCGGGCCATATTGGTAGGAGGCGAGTGCTCTCACCACTACGCCACCCTTGCTCCCCTTAAACTCAAAGTGAAAAATTAATGCAATGTAAAACTTCTGATACCCAATACATAAAATTCAAAACTGAGAGGGTTTGTTGGTGCTGTTTTTTTTTTCTAGGCTCCAGAACCTTCTAAAATTGATATAAAATGGATAATGGTGAAAAAAGAAGTAAAAAACTACTTTCATCATCATACGGTTCTGTAAATAAACAAGAATTGGTGTCGGTATATATACAGTTCACTTTAAGCCTCTGTCTTTGAATTACAGGAACAACTCCTCTATAAAATTCAAAGCTTAAATAAATTATTGGCTTATACCAGGTTATTTGAAAAAAGACAAAAACCAACAGTCAACATAACTGGGTAACTGAAATCTCCTGAGCAGAGGCCAAGTTCTAGATTAAACCTGAATATTATTTTACAAGTATTTTAGATTAAAAGTATTTTCTTTTTACTTCTTAACTAGTAAATACATTAAATAAATTTTCGAGTGAAGTATTTTAAATCGGTACCTACAAGATGTATCTCCACATGCCAGAAAAGGCAAGCAAACTTTAATATTGTGAAATGTCTTTAATAATTATTCACAGAACTCACCAAAAGTGAACAAATTTTCTTTTAAGAACAGCTGTTTTTTGTAAAACATTGTCACCATTTTCCTGTCACTACACTAATGACTGTCAAAATCAGACATCAAAATAAGCAAATAACTGTGGTACAAATCCCACTGCAGTAATCCCCAGCAGCATGTAAGTGAAGCACTTATGTGGCATTTCTGAAACAGCTTTCTTTCTCTGGGGGTCTGTTTCTGCAAGAAGCAACGGCACTATGGTGTGAACGGTGGACTTTGCCACTGCCCGTGTCGGTATCATTACCGTCACACCCACGACAAACTTGCAAAGCATCTGGATGATCCTCTTAAGGCCTGGGATACGTATTGGGTATGGAGCGCCAAGATAGGGGTCTTGAATGACCCCCTGGAAGTAACAACTTGCCCAGTTGCCAAGCAGGGCACCGCATGTGCCAAAAATAATCATGGCAGTGTCAGCTTTTGTTCGAGTCTGTTTTGGTGGTGAAGGGTAAAGTATTATCATCGCTAGCGGCACAGTTGTTAGAAATATTGGCGTGTTGGGAGAACTGAATGCCCATCGATCAAGTGAGATGTCCATTAGAGGCAACACAGTTACCAGTAAGAGAACTGAACAGAAAATACCAGCCAGGATATCCTTGAAAATAAGACAGAAGAGAGAATGACTATTTTTCAATATTCACCCAGGGTTGTCTTAGCAAGTTTAGAGCAGAGAGGGTCAACAATAATTATGGATTGCTCATCTTGTTTACCTGGCCTTACATGTAGTTGTTTTAAAAGTTAAACAGTACTATCCACTGGATAAATCATGGATAAGTATAAGACTAAAAAACAATATTGCATTATCCACGGGGTATTCATTTATCGCAGTGAATGGTACTACCCAACTTTTGGGCAAATGGAGTCAAGAGTTAATTCAATAAAAATTGCTCGAGGGCAGGCTCCCACTACTTACACTGGTGCCTCCACCACCTACCATCAATTTTTGCCTTTTTGGACAACTTGTTATTATAAACCGCAACTAAATCCCGACCAAACAACTGCAGACATTTGAATGAAATAAACTCGGCCCCTTAATACAGAGTTACTGACACTAGTCTTGATTTGATCTTGAAGTCACAACTTTCAATGTTTGTTCAGAATTTCACTTGTCTTTTGTTGATTATTGCTAAGTTTTCTGGGGGCTGAATTTATGACCCGTCTGTCATGCATCAACTAAAATTGTTTTTTGATCTAATTTCATGCTACCCCTCTTATGTAAATGTAAATAACCTCAAAAGAAAATTAATATTCTTGCATCCTGCTGTTGTGAAATTTCTATTAGGAATGCTAACTTGCAGTCCCAAGGATGTTGGCTGTAATGTTGTTGCATGGATCAATGCCTTCTGTGAGGATACAAGATTTATGAAGGAGAAAAACAGCTACAACGACTTTTGGCAGTGTTTCCTTGAAGTTCTGCGTGATCAAAGTGGAAACTACAAAATTAATGACACTACAAATTTTTGTGAGATCTTACAGGGAGTCTTCTTTTGGTAGGACTGCTTTAAAACTTAAAAACAGCTCTTAAATACAGCCTGATTTCTTTCACACATAATTCATACCTGTAGTGTATGCATTCCCATATAAAGCCGACTGCTTGAAACAAGGACACACCAGCATATTGCAAATAAGATGCCCAGGTACAAAGGATACTGTAAAAAAATGGAAACAATTTAAAAACACTGGATATATTGATACATTATATGCTGTGGTTCAATTTTACCTTGGATTAAATTTCCCATAGTTAAAAACTCATAACTTTCCATACCAAAAATTAAAAAGCAAAGGAAAATAAAAAATTCACACCAATAATAAAATCAAACTACAACATATATGAAAACAAAAGGAGGGAAACTACTTGGACAACCTACGATTAAAAATAATTAACCAATATTTTTGAGAGGAAAGCCCTACATTTTAAAGGGAACCCTGACTTAAGATCTCTTAATATTTTAAGTATGGAGATCATGCATCTCAGCTTAGGATGGGCTACAAAGGGGGCCTTGGTAGTACAGTAACAGGGTATTATTACTGAGTAAAACAACAAAATAAATACCTGACTGACTTTTTATATAACACTTAATGTCAAAAGAGGACATATAATTTGGATATAGTGAAGATACACGTACAGCTCCACTGTGGCATGTTCTTGGTCATGCTCCTTTGCAAGAAAATATATTTTTGATCATTCAGTTTGGTTTTAAGATTAGTGCCATCAGATCCAGTGACACAAGCAGTACAAAAATACCAAGATGTGTGCTCTGACACACGCACAAAATTAATCCATTGCTCACCAAGTAAAAATCTTTAAAGATAATAATGCCTATTGACCTTTTGTGTGTTGTGGTGGTATGTTTAACTTTTTTATTTCCTGAACCAATAATTATTAAAAAGACCTGATGTGGCATTGAGTTTGCAGTGCTTGGAGAAAATTCAATGGTTTGATCAGAACTGCTTGCAAAATTTTATATTTAGAAAAAACAAAATCTACAATAATTATTTATTGTAGATATAGGTATCCCCTGAAATATATCTTTCAGCCAGCTTTCTCCTGCATGGGTCAATATTAATACATCACTAAATGTCATTGTTAAATGGAACTACACTAAGTCTTAGTGTAATTCTGTTTAACAATGACATTTCACTTAGCAGCAACACTAGTGCAGATGGCTTCTCAAATGTGGAATGAGACTGCCTTCCTAATTTAACTTTGCATGCCAAACCAAAGCTGTGCTCCACAAAAAATTGTAGTGAGCCCAGTGCTCTCAATCTGTGAGATCCAGGGTGCCCAGAAAATGATTTTATGCAAAAATGAAGACTTTCTAGTTGCCCTCAAGCAAAAAGTGCCAGGTCCTATGGTACACTGCTAGCGCACAGCCCTGCAAACTATGGCCACACTATCTGATTCAAACACTGCTTGTATGTCCTAGCTAATTTATCAGTTAGGTTCAGCACGTGAGCTGCAAGGCGTCTGAGCCAGGTCTTAGGGGTGAAAAGGTTGGGGAAGGAAGTTAAATCATACATGTTCAATGTTCAAATGTCAAGAATCTCTCATAGAAAAAAATTAAATAGTCGTGCATATTTGCTCGATAATGTAGAACTTAATTCTTTCCACAACAGAACATTGTAATTCACGAAAAATTTGGAGAGGGTAATTGAAATCAATATTGTGACTCATGCATTGCAAAATTAACGGATGAGGTCATCGATTTATTTACGACATTTAACCATGACACCAAAATTCCCTCATTAAAACGCTAAGTTGCAAAACTAGGGGTAACTACAGAGTACATGCCCAAAACCTACTAATTGAACGAACAAATAATGAAACAATGCATGAATACCTGGTAACGATCATAAGTGAAGTACACAATGCAGACAGGGATTAGGGTCCCTACCATTGCATGAGTGCTGGGCATGCCATACTCAACTTGAAATCGTTTCTCCACAGAAATAACAGGAGGACAGGGTGGTCGGGGCCATTGGATAACATCCTTCGCAGCCTGACCAATGTACATAATAAGCGCCCACATAAAAACTATTCGTCGCGCTAAATACTCGTCAATGTTCCAAAACAAAAACGGGAAAAAAGTTATGTAAAAGGATTCGTAGCCCAGAGTTGAGCCAAACGCAAAAATCACATGAAAGAAGCTGTTGAATTCGTAGGTTTGCTTGACTTTTTGCTCTCCAGGAACTGTGAGTTTTTCCGGCGCTTCCTCTCTGGTAAAGCCGCTGCTGTGACCATTAAGTTTAGATCTTGAGTGAGCGTGATTTCTTTGATATCCGTTGTTCGCTAAAACATGTCCATATTGAAGCTCAGACACGGGGTCTTGGAAGTCATGCAATGAGTTTCCATTTTCTTCGGTCCGAACCTCTCTCAGACCGAAAGTGCGCTGGAATTTCGCCACAAAATAAGGATCTCCCAGAGCTTTGAGCATTTTGTACGCAAAAATAACACAGGGAACACAAGTCAAGAGGTGACTGAATTGAAATTCAAGCAAGCGTTTACACGGCCGCTTTCTTTCCGTAACGGGGTGGAACCGGCAACACCCAAATATGGACATATCACTCATTTGACCGCGTGTGGACGGCGTGTGGTGCACGTGATAGTGGGGACTCCCCTTAGGAGAAAAAATTCGACAACCTAAGTGAAACCAACATCACTTTCCTGAATTAATTTTGTTTATCTATTATTAAAATTCGGTGAATAAAGTTTAATGTAACAAATGCTTTGGCATTAATAATAATTATTGGAGCTGCAGCAGATTTTAACAGGAAAAATGTATCTTTGGTGATGCAGCAACATTAACAAATAAAGATTGTAGAGTTACATTTTGTCATATTTTTGTTGCACTCTTCTTGGGTCTAACCTTAGGATATTTGACAACAGTTAAATGTGTAGCCTGGGGTGGGGAAATTTTAGGGTATTTGACTGGAATGATTTGCCCGCAGGCAGGGAATTTGACACCAAATTTTTGAAAAAATGTCAAATCCCCACCCCATACCCTGCCTCGCTGTGCCCGCCAGCTTTACATTGACAGGTGCCTAAAGGTTGCTTTGGGCATTGGGCATTTGGGCAAACAAAACTCACTGCAATGATTTGCCCCAGTGAACACCATACGACAGCTGCCCAGTGCGCAATTCCTAACATCCAAACTGAACCTTTACTAAATCAGCTGTGTATTAAGTACTAATTCATGGTACATTCAAGGCAAGTTCCCTTCCAAGTTCCTACTAGCCACATAAAAAGAAGTTTTGGGGGTTGTCACACAATCCAAACATAAATAAATAAAATAAATAATGAGCTTAAAAAAGAACATCTGCATTTAAGCTCAGAGAAAGATTCAAGATGTTTCTAATAGGTTTGCCAATTTTAAAGGGACACAGTCATCTATGGGACTAAGCTGACGTCGACACTAGTTTTACAACTTTGAAAAGCATTTACCTCAAACCAAAATCAAATGTGCATCAAATACAAGGAGAAATTTGCTTCAATTATCTTGCCCACTGTTTCATTCGATCTTTTCTATTTTTACTTTTAAAAAACCTATTGCTGAGTTTCTTTTACTCATTTTATCATATTATTTTATCATCCTTGGTTAAAAACAGTATGAATAGCATATCTTGTTATCCGCAAATCAGCTATGAAATGGTACCTGATGTGCATGTACATCAGCTAGCTGACTAGGTCCTTTCAAAGACATGCTTAGAGAGTGTAAGTCTGCTGATAATAATATGGGCAACATTTAATTTGTTCACCACTGAAAAATTATCTTCTTCAAGTGATGGGTGGCAAATGCTATGGCAACAGTACAAGTTTCCAAAGGGAGCCCTCAAAATTAGTTTGGGGAACAGATTTTTTCCGTTCGCTTTAAAAATTAAGGGCACTCGATACATGTGTCTTGTAATATTAAATAATTAACTTTGGTAATGTAAGAAAAACCCTGTCAAGTACAAATTCAAATAAACTTGTCCAAAAGTACTTTCACATGTTACCATTATTAAACTGTTCTTCAGTATTTCACAAAATGTTACAGGTTGCTTCTCTTTACTTGCACTTAATAGATCCTCTCAGGGGGATTAGTATGTCCCAAGTCTGACTTTCAAATACGGTCGTTTTGCATTTTGAGGAGTAGGCCATGTCCGTCTCGGAAGTTAACCAATCTTCCTGCCAGTTGTTACATTTCATCTAATCTTATGTCACAGTTTCAAGGCAGCGCCATGTCACTTGTTGTAATTTTAATATCACGAGGCCTCACTTAAGGCAATTTTTGGAGTGAATGGGTCCAGGCTACCAAACACAAAAAGAGAATTCAAATGTACAATATATGTACACCCAATTTACATTCTTTATACATCAGCCGTTGCCTTGGCTCGTGCTCTGATCTTCAGTCTGTCTCCCAAATAACGGAGCGTTAATGTCATTTCCAGGTACAAGCAATCTCAGTGTCCCAACGGCAAACAGACCTGTTAAAAAGATCACCAAAATTAAAATACAGTTTAACTGTACTGGGTGCAAAGAAAATCATTTTTACAGCTTGCCATTTAGGCAAGCTGAAGCTAGCATTTCCTAGCCAGATATCATTTCAACTAGCCCCAAAACTTTTTGACTAGCAGAATAGGCCATTTGCACTATGACATCATTTTACTACTACGACCAGAATCCTTCAGGGTTTTGCTTTCTTGTGCACGTTAGGGCTTTTGTTATTTAAACCTCACTGGGATTACAAAATTTAAATATGAAAGGAAAAATGAAAAGGATTCTGGTCGTAGTAGTAAAATGACGCCATCGTGCAAATGGCCTATTGATTTCACAGTTCTTCTGTTATTCGAATTCCTCAAAAAAAAACACTTGCCCATCGGGCATTAGTTAAAAACAGAATCCCCTAGCCCGATAGCAAAATCCACTAGCCCCATGCCAGGCTATCGGACACTACTTTCTTTGCACGCTGCTTTCATTAACACTGCCAAAGTGTTTGATGGAGTTTTGTAAGGTGACTCTAACTTTTGAGTCTGCAGACAAAATCCTATGATGTGACCTGATTTAAATGAAACCTCGTCAGCAGTACTTTCACATGGTGCTATTTGTTTTTCAAAATTTTACAAAATGAAATTTGGAAATTTGGTTGAATTTCCCTCTGGCTACATTTGGCAGGGAAAGGGTTAAAAGGCTAGCCTCAGGGTACCACCAAGTGGCTGCTTAGTGGAGGTCGGTTGCACAATGGAGGTTTTAAAACAAACATGCCACAGGAACATCCTTACTGGTCTACAATCAGATGTCACCTTCCATCTCAGACTGTATTTTTCTTTATTGTAAAGCCAAACTGAGACCGTTAGTAAAACAAGTGCTTAATAGTAACTTAATACAGATAAAAACAATTAGAAGAACTCTTGTTGGCATGGCAAAGCATGACTAAGGCCCTTGATCATGCTGGCCATTTAATATAGATTTAATTTACAATATAATATTCTTCTTCTCTACAATAAATTTTGGGACCTTGATCACTGGTTGCTTAATACCATAGTAAGGTGTCCACTTATCCCTTGATCTTGGTCTTCATAGTAAAAAAAAAACAGTGGTGGATCCTGACTATCCTGACTATCCTGACCGCCGCCTGGTTAGCTCAGTTGGGAGAGCGCCGGTCTACTGAGCGGGAGGTCGCAGGTTCAACAGTCAGGGTCTTTAAATAACTGAGGAGAAAGTGCTGCCTTTGTAATAATATCTGCAAACGGCTAGACTTTCTAGTCTTCTCGGATAAGGACGATAAACCGTAGGCGCCGTCTCACAAGCCCTTGCACATGTATTAAATCTGTGGGACGTTAAAGAACCCACACACTCTTCGTAAAGAGTAGGGCACGTAGTGCCCGGTGTAGTGGCCTATCTCACTTTCACACTCATGTATGGGGGCATCATTACTCATTCCTTCACTACTTGTAAACTGCACCTTAAGCAGTCTGGCAAAGTCCCCCAACCAGTGTTGTAAATTATCCCTGAAAAGCCCTGAGGGGAGTGGATAATAAGATATTTACAATTACAATTTACTATGAGGGAACAGGAAGGAGCCAAACCAGGGAAGGTACTTTAGGAATGTTTGGGTAGAGATGTGCTGCTGGGACCCTCGAATTCTTACCCTTCACCAGTCACCGAGACTCTTGGACAAAATAAATGGAAAACCTAGACCCCCCCCTCCCCCTCCAAATCAAGGATGGGAAAATGGAGCGTTTTTGCCCTTCGTGCGGCTTCATCCTTGATTTGGGGGGGATAGGGGTTTGCTGTTCCATTTTATTTTGTCCAAGATTGCAATCTTGCAATCTTGGAATAAATGGAAAACCTGGTTCCCCCCTCCCCCAAATCAAGGATGGGAAAATGGCACGTTTTTGTGCGGCTTCATCCTTGATTTGGGGGGGATAGGGGTTTGCTGTTCCATTTTATTTTGTCCAAGATTGCAATCTTGCAATCTTGGAATAAATGGAAAACCTGGTTCCCCCCTCCCCCCCCCCCCCAAATCAAGGATGGGAAAATGGCACGTTTTTGCCCTTCGTGTGGCTTCATCCTTGATTTGGGGGGGAAGAGGATTTGCTGTTCCATTTTTATTTTGTCCAAGATTGTAGTTAAGCTGAACTTTGCTACTCCACTAGACTTTAAACTTCCAAAATCCCTCCGTATCCTACAATTGCTATTTTCCAAAAGTTACTAAGGTCAAAGTTTTCTTTGCTATTAAACTGAGCTGTGGGTAAATTTGGATTTGCCTATTTAATTTTTTTTGAGTGTTAACAATTTGCCCAGTCTGGACTAAAACCATAACCAATTTGATCAGTTTCCAGGGAAATGACACTCTATTCTAGACACAAACTCTCTGACTTCTTTACATTATCCCAGACTAATAATATTGCTTGAAAACCATACCATTCACAGCCGCAAATAACTGTAGAAGAGAAATAAGAGTCTTGTCTAAATACCCATTGAGAAGACTCTTATTTCTCTTCTGCAGTTATTTGTTCTTGAACATGAGCATTGTCATCTGGGAATTTCCCTAGATGAAGAGGTCTCTTGTTAGAAGATACCTACTAGCAGTGTGCAGATTTCTATTTAATCTCAAACCAGAGGTATAACTCCCTTTGCCTGAACATACCTACTCCAAATATTCCAGTCATTATCTTTGCAGACATTTTTGGGATCTGTTTCATACTTGAGAAGACAAGCACCCCTGATCCGTAGCAAACAGAGGCACTGATGACCTTGCAAGTTTTACAGTCTGGATCAAAGGAGAAATCAAGCTTCCTTATAAACGATGGCTCCTCTTTTTCTTCCTAAATAGAAACATGACAGTGGCATCATATGGTCAGCAAAATTTTCTCTCAAGATCGCTTCGCAGGGCTTAAAACATAAGAGGCCGGTAAACACACAATGTCTGACTAAGATGACCATCACAGGAAAAAATAACGGATTCCCATTTTTGGATATTTTAGGGTATTTAAAGAATTCCCACAAAAATCCCAAATTTGGAAGAGTGAGACAAGTCCCAATCAGGGAACTTGGTTGGGAATTCCCTGGTTGGGACTTGTCTCACTTTGTCAAATTTGGGATTTTTATGGGTATTCTTTAAATACCCTAAAATATCCAAAAATGGGAATCCGTTATTTTTTCCTGTGCATTTGCTTGGACAAACTTTTGGTTTCCTGGTAATTTTCACCAGATATGTGAATTAGTGACCACAAAAAAGTTTACTTTCTCATCATCATGTTTCAAGAGGATAAGCATCTTTTTTCACTTTGTGTGTTTTTGCTTGTTAGGCTAGAACACTTAAAAGTTATTCTCAAGTTAATTCTACTATTTTGACTGGTCAATAGAGAGACGTGACTGAGCTAAACGTTCCATGGTTGGTCAACATGACCGGTAAGGTAACATTTCTAAAATTGTTTTGACCCCTGCTTTGTATGGCTAGCGACAAAACTGACGAGCAAGTAGCCAGGGCTAGTGATTCGGTCGATCGAAATCAGGGCATTAAAAATCAATAATTTCAATACTCGATAAAAATCGACAGTAATTGATAAAATCAATATTAATCAATCCACAAATATCGAAAATTGCATGATGAGATTCATAGAGGTCTGAAATCGCAGACCCCTGCTGATGTTCGCCTATTGAATAGGCGAACATCAGCAGGGGTGCTCTGAAGAAGTTATCAACTTTTTATGGCTCATTTGCTTGCAGGTGACAAATTCTCACATCAACTGAATTCCTGTATGTCCACAAGACTTAACAAAGAAGTCAATTACGAATTAGCCGAATTGAAAGTCTTTCTGCCGAACCGGAATGCATTTGACTTTGTGGCTTCCCTTAAAATTCATGGTACTTCGACAAGAGTGATTTTACGCATTTCTTGCGGGGGAATTTTCCATTGTATATTTTGTTTACTTGTATTTATTAAACACTAAAAGCCAGTTATTTAGCCCGTATATTACAAAATCACATTACAATTAAGCCATTTTCATTCAGTTGGCCCAACACTTTTATCAAACCCCATTTATCTTGAACAATTTCAGTCAATAAAGCATATAAGGCAGACTGGAAAAGCACTTATTTTCTTAAATTAACCCGCCAAGAAAGAGGCCTGGAGGTCCAATGATTTCTTAAATTGTGGCCTAACGTAGCCCGTAATGGTTTGAAAGTAATGTCACTCTATTTTCATTTTGCTTCTCTCACAAGTTAAAGTGAGAGTTCACGGAGACTGTGCGGTTTTCTTGAGTGTGTTTTAGAACCTGCCTTAACGAAAAGGTTACTACACTACGCAGAATAACGCTGATAACGCTGCAAAATTTTTCAGATTATTTTTCAACCGAATAGGCTGTGAATTTAATGCGATGATCATGTCCACTTTCATACCTTCATCCGCATTTCATATATTTCAATTCATGCTTACAAGATCTCCCTAATTTTTTGTAAACGCAAGGCACTTGCAATATTCGAAAGAGCGCTTGAGCAATGCGATACAATACTGGCAACTAAACGCTCAAATAAAGCTCATTTCCCTCTGAGACACCTGGAGAATAAGATTCTCACAGAGCCACGGCCTAAAAAGGCTAAGCTGCTCTGTTGCATCAGAAAGGCCAATTTTTTTTCTTAATGCTGGGGAGAGATTCAAACAATGAAGAGTGCGTTTTTAGTTCCCTCTAAGACACCCAGAGAATAAAATTCTCACATAGCCACAGCCTAAAAAGGCTAAGCTGCTCTGTTGCATCAGAAAGGCCAAACTTCTTTTCTTAATGCTGGACAGAGATTCAAAAAGTATCTGAAAGTGCGTTTTTAGTTCCCTCTAAGACACCCAGAGAATAAATTTCTCACAGAGCCACAGCCTAAAAAGGCTAAGCTGCTCTGTTGCAACAGCAAGGCCAAACTGTTTTACTTAATGCTAGACAGCACTATCATCAATGTTTCCTTTAGGAGTAGTTTTGTTTGTAAAATTAAAGGCCGTTCATCACCATCTTCTCTCAACTACACTAAAATGCATTCAAGGGAGTTCTTAAAATAATACCATCTATTATTGATCACAAGTTATGAAAAACTTCAAGTACCTTTGAATCGGGCCGTAAGAAAAAAAAACTCGATTTCAATTCCACATTCAACCAGCAAAAAATTCTCATCATCAAACTTTAAAAAAACATAGAACAATATCAAATACAGCATTTCAAGTTGAGATTCGAGTCGCTGCTAAAACACAAACAAGATAGTCTAAACATCAAACCTAAAACTCGCAACCACCTGAGTTTGACCAAAGCTCAAAAGTGCAATTACCTTGTTTACTAAAGATCTCTCGTTCATTTGGGTACACTCCTCATACCCTTAAAACAATTAACTTCACAGATCTAATCAGTGTAAAATTAAATAAAACTTTAATCTGTAAATCAATTTTTGGTTTATAATGAAATTTTACTCACTTTTTCTGACAGTTGATAGCCACTGGCTTTGGCAAAATAAATTTTCCTGTTTTCTTAAAAGGGATGCGATAAAATTGAAAATATCCACTAAGATCTACACTTAAAAACTGAATTCTGACTGAACTGAACTGTTTGTGACCAGGCTTAGGAAATGGTGATCTCAATCAACATTCTCCATGAACATTACACTTTCACACAATTAGCAGTTATTGAGAATTTATAAAACGATCAAGTGATCAGTGTCAACCTTAAAACGTTTTTGCGGTAAAACGATAATAGTTACCCATTTTAAGATGATACAAAGGAACCCAAAATAGACTTACCAAGCTTCGACCAATGTTTAGAAAATTAAGAAGGGATGAAGAGCATCACCGTTCGGCCTAAATCCAGTCAGCGACCCTTAATAAAAATCATTTAAGCTTACATAATCAACAACGGCGTGAATGCCCGAGTTTCTGACCCGATGGTCATCTGCCACTATCTGCAGGAAATCATGCGATATTCCGTCTCGAATGAATCGCTCATTTTATTTTCCCCAATTCAGTAATCCACGACCAAGTACCGTTTCCAGATCTTCTCTGCACGATGAAACGCTTTCTCTGACTTCTCTGACCACTTCCAGCTGTATTTTCTGGTAGCTGGAAGGAATTTAGTCCTTCTTTGATCGCTTTAAACCCGCTGTCGTCTGCATTTCATCGGCGCAAGTTAAAGGCTCCTGCTCAGGTTGAAACGACAACAACATGATCTTTCCTCTTTGAAAAACCAAATCTGGATGGGTTGACTTGAGCGCCAGTACTATCTGTACTATCAACCAAATCATAAAGAGCTATAAATAATCGGCCCTGCTACTTCCAAACATCATCTCTACATAAAAAGCATAAAATTTTGACTTGCCATGAATTATATCGTATCTGTTGGTAAAACCATTTGGTCACTGATACTGCGTACGAGATTACCTTTGTTTGGCAAGTGAGGGTCCAAAGACTGAAGATGCTTTTCCCAACGAACGCGACACTTTCATGCCGGCTTTGAAAGTTTGCGCGAGATCGCATTGTGATACAAATAGTATCTGTCTTACGTCTCAGCTTGCCTTCCATCAGTGACTCAAAGTACACAAGTCATGAGAGATTAGAGGCTGTTAATTGAATCCTAAAAAGGTTTTGTACAAGGACACCGGAAATTAAAACTTCTTCCCTGTGGTGAAATTCAAAGTCGTATGAATCTCGTCATGTAAAAAGCGATCACACTCATTCTTGTGATTTTCATCAATTTCTGTTCGATTTCAATCGCAAAGTATTGAAATGTAAAGAGCTATGTATTTTGAAGCGAGAACATTACTTAGCGGCAGTTAGTGTGGTGATTCAATAGAATCCCTATAGTTTCTTATTTCTTTTGACCTCTTTCGACCAAACAGACACGTGGAATGACAACTTAAACACAGTCTGAAAGTAACGAAACTTTACTTTTAAACAATAATCAGAACTCTGGCAGAATGTGAATGTGCCGTTGATTAGCATTGATTACCTGTGAACAAACCAACAACAATGAAAAACGAACACAAAAGTTTGCAAGAACAGGCAGTTGCAAGGCAGAAAAGTGAACAAGCTACAATGGTAATGCCCTGAAACACTCTCTTTTTCAATTTGTCAACACTTCTTTCGATCGCACTTTGAGTGATTGACTTCTCTTGATTTCCCCAGATTTCTCTAGTGTCCTTTGGTCGTCCATGAATAACAACATTATTGAAATCAATAAAGTTGATACACATCCGTCAATATTTTGTAATTACCGATTTCGATCCATTTTTTAAACTAACTAATCGATTCTTATCGAGTAATATCCATTTTATTGATTTATCGATTAGTTTTTCGATGATCGATTTCGAGCGATTTGTAATGCCTTGTTGAAATCCGCGTAGTTACTAAAACATGGAACGACCTAAAACCACCTAAAACCATCTACAACCAACTACAACCACCTCAAAAAATTCAATAACCATCTACAACCATCTCAAAAACATCTACAACCACTCGCAAACAATCTAAAACCATCTAAAACAAGGTATAAAATTAATGTCTGAAATAAGGCGAGACGACAACATGTCACGTATGTGAAATACGAGAATCGAACAAAACATCCATTTCCCCCTAAAATCTTACTCTCCCTGGTCCCTTGACTTGATTTGGCTTTTTCTACCCTGGGTATTAGTGAGACGTTTTGGTTCACGTTTCATTTGATTACGTAATGGCACAAGGTAGGGTTTCTCTCTCTCTCGGAGTCTGCTTCACTGCTGTTTTGTTCTGAGGTGGCAAGTTAATTTTTTTAACATCTGTTTATCATCCGCCAAACATGTTTGTACATTCCAGGTGACTCCTTTAGATGAACCCTAGTGTCTTTCACACCCGTTTCCTGTGTCATCACGCAAAGCTAAACTCCCTTGCGTCACGACACGGGAAACGGAGACTAGGTGTAATCATTGTTAAAAATGTTATTAAAAAAATCTATAATGCAATCTTATTTCTTAGTTTTGTGTTAAGCCAATGGTTGATGATACAAGGGACCAGGGAGAGTAAGATTTTAGCGGAAAGTGGATGTTTTGTCCGATTCTCGTATTTCATGTACGTGACATGTTGTCGTCTCGCCTTATTTCAGACATTTATACCTTGTTGTAGATGGTTTTAGGTGGTTTTAGGTGGTTTTAGGTGGTTTTAGGTCGTTCCATGTTTTAGTGACTGCAGAACGCAGAACGCTGAATGCACACAGCAGAACGCCCAATGACTCCCAGAAGTTTAGTGATTAGGGTAAGGAAACTAAGTGATTGAGGTTCTATTTACAATCATAAAACCGGAAAAATTGACCTCAAAATTAGTTCACGCAGGTTCCTAACCCTAATCACTAAACTTCAGAGTCATTTGGCGCTCTGCATTCTGCATTCAGAGATTTGCGATCTGGAAAATATCCCTGCCGATGGACGTCGTACACTAAGCTAAACGAAACTGATATCGCATAAATCCACGAAAATCAAACCAAAAGACACACTGCCACACTGAAATATATTAACTGTGTACCTCCTCAACCGGTAAAGCATCCAATGCAGGCAAATTTTCCACAAGTTTACTCTCTTCTTCCCGTTCACTCATATTGAAGTACAAATATCATCAGGCGCAATCAAACGTCACAACTTCATTTACACTCACACGAAAATTACACCCGATAAGGGCAGAGGAGAGGGAGAAGGATACAATTGACCACTCCAGAAAATACCATAACATGGGCATAATGCTTTTTGTTTGTCACCCCATAATTTTGAATAAGCTTTGTCTTCAGTTTCCCTTGGGAGTTAAAATGGCCTCAAGAGAAACTGAAAACAATGCTTATGCAAAATTTTGGGCTGACAAACAAAGAGCATTATGGTATGTTATCGTATTTTCTGGAGTGGCCAATAATAGCCCGGTTTTCACTTGACTGTCGTAAAACCAAAACCAAAGTAAATACACTAGCCAACCAAAGAGCGTAGTAAAACCAAAACCAAAATAAAAACCAATCCCTTTCGAAAGTCAAGTGAAAACCCTTCTAAACAGTTGATAAAGAAACCGCAAATTCCCTCAAAGCGTCCTTTGATTGCAAAAAAAACCATCTCCAGAATCACGCAAAACATCTTTGTCCCCAGGGCCCTCCCCCCTTGGGCGGAGCACTTAGTCCCCAGGGCCCTCCCCCCTTGGGCGGAGCACTTAGTCCCCAGGGCCCTCCCCCCTTGGGCGGAGCACTTAGTCCCCAGGGCCCTCCCCCCTTGGGCGGAGCGCTTAGTCCCCAGGGCCCTCCCCCCTTGGGCGGAGCGCTTAGTCCCCAGGGCCCTCCCCCCTTGGGCGGAGCGCTTAGTCCCCAGGGCCCTCCCCCCTTGGGCGGAGCGCTTAGTCCCCAGGGCCCTCCCCCCTTGGGCGGAGCGCTTAGTCCCCAGGGCCCTCCCCCTTGGGCGGAGCACTTAGTCCCCAGGGCCCTCCCCTTGGGCGGAGCACTTAGTCCCCAGGGCCCCCCCCTTGGGCGGAGCACTTAGTCCCCAGGGCCCTCCCCTTGGGCGGAGCACTTAGTCCCCAGGGCCCTCCCCTTGGGCGGAGCACTTAGTCCCCAGGGCCCTCCCCTTGGGCGGAGCACTTAGTCCCCAGGGCCCCCCTTGGGCGGAGCACTTAGTCCCCAGGGCCCTCCCCTTGGGCGGAGCACTTAGTCCCCAGGGCCCTCCCCTTGGGCGGAGCACTTAGTCCCCAGGGCCCTCCCCTTGGGCGGAGCACTTAGTCCCCAGGGCCCTCCCCTTGGGCGGAGCACTTAGTCCCCAGGGCCCTCCCCTTGGGCGGAGCACTTAGTCCCCAGGGCCCTCCCCTTGGGCGGAGCACTTAGTCCCCAGGGCCCTCCCCTTGGGCGGAGCACTTAGTCCCCAGGGCCCTCCCCTTGGGCGGAGCACTTAGTCCCCAGGGCCCTCCCCTTGGGCGGAGCACTTAGTCCCCAGGGCCCCTCCCCTTGGGCGGAGCACTTAGTCCCCAGGGCCCTCCCCTTGGGCGGAGCACTTAGTCCCCAGGGCCCTCCCCTTGGGCGGAGCACTTAGTCCCCAGGGCCCTCCCCTTGGGCGGAGCACTTAGTCCCCAGGGCCCTCCCCTTGGGCGGAGCACTTAGTCCCCAGGGCCCTCCCCTTGGGCGGAGCACTTAGTCCCCAGGGCCCTCCCCTTGGGCGGAGCACTTAGTCCCCAGGGCCCTCCCCTTGGGCGGAGCACTTAGTCCCCAGGGCCCTCCCCTGGGCGGGGTCCCCGGAGCACTTAGTCCCCAGGGCCCTCCCCTTGGGCGGAGCACTTAGTCCCCAGGGCCCTCCCCTTGGGCGGAGCACTTAGTCCCCAGGGCCCTCCCCCTTGGGCGGAGCACTTAGTCCCCAGGGCCCTCCCCTTGGGCGGAGCACTTAGTCCCCAGGGCCCTCCCCTTGGGCGGAGCACTTAGTCCCCAGGGCCCTCCCCCTTGGGCGGAGCACTTAGTCCCCAGGGCCCTCCCCTTGGGCGGAGCACTTAGTCCCCAGGGCCCTCCCCTTGGGCGGAGCACTTAGTCCCCAGGGCCCTCCCCTTGGGCGGAGCACTTAGTCCCCAGGGCCCTCCCCTTGGGCGGAGCACTTAGTCCCCAGGGCCCTCCCCTTGGGCGGAGCACTTAGTCCCCAGGGCCCTCCCCTTGGGCGGAGCACTTAGTCCCCAGGGCCCTCCCCTTGGGCGGAGCACTTAGTCCCCAGGGCCCTCCCCTTGGGCGGAGCACTTAGTCCCCAGGGCCCTCCCCTTGGGCGGAGCACTTAGTCCCCAGGGCCCTCCCCTTGGGCGGAGCACTTAGTCCCCAGGGCCCTCCCCTTGGGCGGAGCACTTAGTCCCCAGGGCCCCCCCCTTGGGCGGAGCACTTAGTCCCCAGGGCCCTCCCCTTGGGCGGAGCACTTAGTCCCCAGGGCCCTCCCCTTGGGCGGAGCACTTAGTCCCCAGGGCTCTCCCCTTGGGCGGAGCACTTAGTCCCCAGGGCTCTCCCCTTGGGCGGAGCACTTAGTCCCCAGGGCTCTCCCCTTGGGCGGAGCACTTAGTCCCCAGGGCTCTCCCCCTTGGGCGGAGCACTTAGTCCCCAGGGCTCTCCCCTTGGGCGGAGCACTTAGTCTCCCCCCCAGGCACTTAGTCCCCAGGGCTCTCCCCTTGGGCGGAGCACTTAGTCCCCAGGGCTCTCCCCTTGGGCGGAGCACTTAGTCCCCAGGGCTCTCCCCTTGGGCGGAGCACTTAGTCCCCAGGGCTCTCCCCCCTTGGGCGGAGCACTTAGTCCCCAGGGCTCTCCCCCCTTGGGCGGAGCACTTAGTCCCCAGGGCTCTCCCCCCTTGGGCGGAGCACTTAGTCCCCAGGGCTCTCCCCCCTTGGGCGGAGCACTTAGTCCCCAGGGCCCTCCCCCCTTGGGCGGAGCACTTAGTCCCCAGGGCTCTCGAGTATAAATAAACTTACCTTGTGACTTACCTTTTTTAACCTTCCTTATCTTCTTCGTTGTGTTCTTTCTTATTTTCGGGTAATGGTTGTCTTTATAGTAACGTTTTATTGTAATCGTGTTGGTGTATATTTTGTAGCCTGTTTTGTTATTTCATTCTTTTTCCGTTGGTTCACGCTGACGAATTTTTATTCTGAATAAGGTTTCGTTCTTTCTTTGAATTTAAAAGCGTAAGTTTCTTTTAGATTTATGTTTTTTTCGTCTGTTAGACCGGAAGAGGTTTAATTTATAACTAAATACGACATGCAGTTGTCTTGGTGTATATACCAAACCGGGATTCCCAGAGAGACCACCAAACTCACATTAAAATTATTAGAAGGTAACATGCGACTTTGATAGAAAATATAGCTTAGTCGCAGAGTACTGAGAGCTTATTTCAAATAATGACTGAGCGCCTACTTTTCCAAAGTTTTAGAACCAGCAAATTATTATTATGGTCTCTGAATTGAAACAGTAGGTTATTATTTGTAACAATGATCTTCTGTTCCACCTCAATGACCTGTTCTTAAAATTTTTCTAAAATAATGACCGGTTCAAAATAATGGAAAATTACATGTAGCCTCGACTAACCGATTTCGTTGGGCAAAAACTGAACTTACCATAGGTTTGGAATATACTGAATAAATGACAGACAAACAAGTGAGTTGGCTGCATATCCTTGTTAAGGACCGTGGCAGTACTTTTATTGTTTTTTTGAAGACTTTCTTAGAAGGCAAATTGTTCTGCTTTTATCGTCAGGAAGTACCTGTTAAAAAATGGAAAGCGTTATTTGTTGTTGTAAATACTACTGTACTGACGTGTTAAGAATTTCACTCCGAATGAACTTTATTTTCCTTTTTAACTAGATTCTCGTTACCTTCAGTTTTATTCATACCTGTCTTGCCCCTCTGTGGACTATTATTATAATATTCTAATAGTCGGTTTGTTGGCATCCCGTTTGTGCGGAATAAAAGGATAATTTACCTTTAAATCGTAGCTTAATTAATAAGGCGGCGCGCGGTTAAAGAAAGATAAAAGCATATAGTCTGAGTGAGAGTAATAAAAGTTTGTCCAGCGTTTGAAGTTTATTTTATAAGCGTAGTCTACAGAAGTGAACACTTGTTTTATAATCAAAGCGAAAAGTTGTAACTACAAAGACATCAACAAAATAGTCCTATTAGACCCTTACAATCGCAACTCGCGTTTATCGTCTTGACTATACGAAAACCTTTATTATATTTTTGTCTTTCCAGTTCAACATTCATTGAGCCAACATAACAAAGGGACCATGCATGTTTACAGGTATATAACTTCAGGCGACACATTGAATAACGCTCAGAGGACAGAATTATGACAGAAAATCCGTTATGTAGAGTCTAAAATATAAATTTCTTTCTGCAGCAAAAATAACCATTAAGAACCGTTAAAGCTATTTGGACGCTTATCACCCTTTCTTTAAATTGACTTATATTTTTCCCAGAAAACTAAAGGAAACAATTGCGAAACCAAACGTTAAAGTTGAACTAAGAACAAACCTGCTGTTTTTGAGGAGGCAAAAGAGAACCTTGACTTTCACTCCAAACCAGAGATCGCCTTCAAAGTAGCTGAGTTTGGTCCTCAATACACCGCCGGCAAAGCAAGGAACGGAGGTTTCTGGCTTTAAACACAGTTAAATCAACTTGAAATTGGCGTCTTCATTTATACGGTCGCTCGATTAAAATTCAAACCAGTGTGAGAAATGTTTTTTATAAATCTTTTCTTGAAACTGTATGTGAGAAAATCACGCACTCTATAATCAACAATGGGCAATCAAAGCATAGATTGGTCACGTTCAAAAAGTTTGCCGACTCGCTCAATTACATAAGGTAGCTCTTGGTTGAAAACAGTATACTAGTGGATAAGCATAAACAACACTCAGTTCATCAATGAAAAATTAGACTAACGCTTGAATTAGACGCATTCAGAAAAAAAATGCCGACTTGGACAAAACTTGACAAATCGATGACAAAACTGGCTGGTGAATGAGTGAGACAATAGGCCTTTCGCCCCAAGAGAAATTGAAAACAATGCTAATGCAAAATTTTGGAGGGACAACAAAGAGTATTATGGTATTTCTGAAAAAGGCCTATAGCCGAGTGCATTAAGACAAGCTTGCTCCTGAATAAATTTAAAATTAGAGGTATAGAATTATAAAACTTTCTAAACTTCTCGGTTGACAATAAAAGCGAAGAAAGTTGAGGAAAACTAGTGTTAAAGAATAAGAACCATTTTGACTCCTAACATTTCATTACTCAGTGATGTTGATCACCACTCTCAGTTTGACAAAACTAATGAATACTTATGAATACGCGAAGACTACAATAGCCTGTTTTGCACCCGCTTGTCACGACTACAGTAAAAAGTGCGAGAAATCGAGAATACAAACTTTTGGGTAGACAAAAATCATCATTCCTTCGAAAAGAGCAGAAAGTTGAGGAAAAGTTTGAGTATCATGCTTGACAAACAAATGAGAATTAGTCTTCAACAATAGGCGTGTTTCCAGCAGCTCATAAATAATTACGACAAAAGTACAGTACGAAGAAAGAAAAAAATAATAATAAATTTAAATTAGAATCTATTAAATTGCGTAGAAAATGTTTAAAATTTTGGCTAATGCCATGGACGTGATTGCTTTCATAATGATAATTAGCAATTTACAATGGTTACAAACATCTTTGGAAAATCACTACCGTAACAACAACCCTTTGTGGTGGTAACTATGCAAAAGAAACAATACTTGCAAACGCGTCTTACTTTATAAATACTTTATCGCAAAAAAAGCAAACAGTGATGTTACTGACGTAACAAAGGTTTAACATCGTAACGTAGCTCATGCGAGAACTCGAGAGTCGTACTTATGCTTTATACTTTAGTTTCAGTTATGTATTCTTATTTTTCGCTCAAAACCGTAATACCTGTTGTTCATTTTGGCTTCCCGCGGTCAGCTGCGCGGTGTCCCGTGCGTATTTTCAATTTCAAATCTTGTCCCTAGTTTTGCTTTTTAAAAAGTCCCGAATCCTAGCCTTCATACAAGGCAAATCTAGGATCCCGGAAAATCTATTAATAACCCTTGGAGTCGTCCAAATAAAAATTGGTTTTAATTAAATATCTTGGTTGCAGGTTTTACCGAAGCTTTATACCGAAGGTACCATATGCGCGACTGGTTAGCCTGTGACATAAGTTGTTCCTAGTACCCCGCGGCTGTATTTCTGGACGAGCCGTGATCGTTCTCTTGTCAGCTCGTGAAATATCTTCAAGGAATCCTTTTGCATCGATCAGACGGGGTCGATATTCAGGCTTCTCAGTTGTGAAGAGTGAGAATATTTCTTAGATAATCAGGTCACAATGCCTGAAGTTGCAACGAAGACAAATAATGTCAGCTCTGGTGGAAGACATAAACAGGGCGCTTTCAAAGACAAGGACAAACCGACTGAGATCCGTATGAGTAACATAACTGCAGCGAAAGGTTTGTTACCAAGTCGTTGTCAGGAGTTTCCCGTCAGGATTAATCTCCCAGTGACTGTTGGTTAAATTTTTTTTATTCTGCAGCTGTTGCGGATGCTATAAGAACAAGTCTTGGACCAAAAGGAATGGACAAGATGGTGGGTAGATTATTATAGTTCGCTGTTTGTATATTTTTTGTACGTTAATAATTTCTTACTTTATTTCCTCATCCTTTAATTTTTTATTTTATCTTTTACATTTTTAAGTGATAATCTGTGAATTTTTCCCAATATTTAAACAAACTTCATGTGTACTGTGTAAATGGTCAAAATGGTTGAAAGCTGTCAAGATAAGATAAGCCGTATTTTTATTTCTAGCTAGTATTTTCAAGCTGCTATTGAAACTTTGTTTTGTTGGAATGTCTCTTTCTTATATAGATTCAAAGTGGAAATGGTGATGTGACAATCACAAATGATGGAGCTACAATCTTGAAACAAATGCAAGTGTTACACCCAGCGGCAAGAATGGTGGGTGATTTCCCAGAAATGTAGAATACCCAACCCTACCTACCTAAAGCAGTCATGCAGGCCTACCAATCCCCTAACATTAACTTTATCTTCGTAATTTTTGCTTGTCTGTCTAATCATCAACACCATCATCATCATAATCAGGGTTTGCATTCACTCTTGACAGAGGAACTCCTCCCTGGATCGATCCCACAGGCGTCTGTGCTTGGTTAATCTTGACCATACTGGTACAAACTGTCTGGTGAGATTGTCTCTCCATCTTATTTTTCTGGCTCTGATGGTCCCACGGTTATTAGATAGCTGTGCAATTTGACCTGCCCATCTATGCTTTGCTTTCCTGATAGCATTAATGATATTGCTTACGCCAGTTTCTTGATGGATCCAGATGTTTCGCTTACGATCTCGAAGGGTAATGCCTAGCACTATGCGTTCCATCTTATGCTGTGCGACTGCAAGCTTATCCATCACAGCATCATATCTGTCTAATAACTTGTTATAAAAACACGGAAGCTCTGATGGGGTGGTTCCACGAGGCCTTGCTGTCAGACAATGTTTCTGTCGCACCCTGATATGCAGATGATGTAGTGGTCTCATTGCCAAGAGCAGATGATGACATTATCACTTCAGTGCTCTTATTACACTGCTTCCAACATGTATACTTTTTCTCACAGGCTGGATATTTATTTATAGCAACTAATTTTTCTGACCCAGGGTTTATGCTGCTCTTATAAGTCCTTGGATGGGTCTGGGCCGGGTTGTTCAAAGCTGGGTTAAGATAACCCAGGTTTAGTGCAAAATTTGAATTCAGGTACAAAAGCTTAAAAATCAAACTCAGTTTGCCTGACTGTTTTTTGTATATAATTGGTTAATTAGATGCTCTAAAAAGAATGCAGAAAATTATCCCAGAAATTGCGTTTTTGAGCTAAAGAAAAAGAAATGCGGATTAAAATTAACCTGGGTTAGTGCTAAATGGCCTTCGAACAGCGGGACACTGGAATTTAAATTAATCTTAGATCTGAGGGTTACTTGAAATGTGCGTAAAAAGAAGAATTTTGTACATAAGTTATATTATTTTTAACTTAAGTTGCTGTCTATGTAGAGACCTTACCCTCTTCATTTAGTAGCTAGCCATACATTATGGCTTTTTATTCAGATGAGAGGGAGAAAGTAATGGTTGCTCCAACAGCATTTTGGTATATTTTATTACCTAAAGTGTCACTTAAGGCAATCCACATTTATTGATGTCTGGGCAAAATGTCCCATTTGAAGACAATCAAGCTTGACCTACAGTGTGATCTGTTTTGTTAAAACATAAACAGAGCCACAGATAACCCAATATCACAGGGAAATACTTGTGGTCTTAAACTCAAAGTATAGTTTTTGTAAAAATTTTATTTAAAGTTTCATGCTTCTGGATTAATAACCTGACTGTTGCTACACTGTGAGCTTGGGTATCCTGTGACATGATGTAAGCTTCTAGTACGTTACAGTATTTTCAAACTGTATTTTAGTCAATGCTCTTTGTTGTATTCAGCTTGTAGAACTTTCTAAAGCCCAAGATATTGAAGCTGGAGATGGTACCACTACTGTTGTTGTGATTGCGGGAAGCTTGCTCAGTGCATGTGCCAAGCTTCTTGAGAAAGGTAACAAGTTCTCTCTGTTTTCATCCTCTATTGACTGACTTGTAACCAAATTCATGACCAGGCACCAGTTGTTCAAAAGGTGGATAGTGCTATCCAGACGATAAATATCATTCACTGGATAGTGATTTACCCAGTGAATAGTGTTATCCATTTTTAGAACCGGGACTAGATGATCAGAGGGCCAAGTGAAGCCGGCTGTCTTTTAGACAGAACTAGACCATGGCTTTCCCCATTCTTCATAATAGAGTGTAATAGTCATTTCACAACAACAGACCATTTTCACAAAGACAGTATTTAACTACAACTACCAGAATTCACTTTATTTTTTCCTATCATATTAAATCTGAAGTAAGGGTGACCTAAGCTGCTGTTAGATTCCCTCTTCATTTAGTAGCTAGCCCTATATTATGGCTTTTTATTCAGATGAGAGGGAGAAAGAAAAATGATTGCTCCAACAACTTTCATGTTGAATCATACTTGAAAGTCAATAGAAGCAACCTACAAGAGGCCTGCAAATTATATTTCTTTGTGCACAGTACATGATTTTCATTATGTCTGACCAGTTCGCCATTTTGTCCTGCAAACCAGAAATTAGTTGGCCAAAAATTATGTACAAGTTTTTAAGATCTAAGCAAATGTAAAACTTCAGAATTAAACGTGTTTGGTACAGTTTGGTCTATCCAGTCAGTATTTCCAACTTAAGGTAGCATTTTGTTTGACACACAGGGAGAATAATTAACAATTATTCCACAAGGGCGCGTTGGATATGAGATGATAGATAGCCAACGAGGCGCATAGCGCCGAGTTGGCTATAATCATTTCATATCCAACAAGCCCGAGTGGAATAATTGTTTTATTAAAAACGCCCACAAAATCTCGTTGAATCGCCCCGACTAGAACAAACCGGAAAAGACAAGGGACTTCCGCTATTGACATGTCACACGTCTATCAAAACTGTCAAGGCGCGAACGGACTCGCCTAGACTGCATGAATGAAAAATCAAAACATTGTGCGATGAACATTAGTTTTTTAAAAACTCATCGTGATTCTAGGATTTTACACAGCAGAACAGCTTAAAAAACCTGGCAGATAATGTGAAGGAAAGGAATTTTTAAGTGACAGCCGTCGAAATTACTATGAATTTGGATTTTCGGTGCAGTTATAAAAGTAAGAACAACGGAGAAAAACTACCGGTATTACCTCGGTCGCTTGTTATGAAGTTGTTTGAAGCCACAAGCTGGTTTTGCTGAACGAGAAAAGAAGCTATACTGCCGCCTCAATTGCTCTAGTGAATGGCTGCATAGCCTGTATTTGTAGCTGGTTACTTGTGATTTATGTTCTTGATGTCGGATAAACAAGCTGCAGTTATCTATCGGTGAGTGACTTGATCGGCGAATGGCTTCGTGATCATGAAGAAACAACACTTGTCTTCTTTCGTAGCTGGTCAAGGTACTTTAGTTCCATGCGTTTTTCGACAAACTTTGAGACAAGCTCTTGTGGCTTTTTTGTTTGTTTTTGTCTTTTTTCTTTCGTTGAAATTGCATTTCTAGTATTCTAAGAAATGAATTAAAATGATTTGCTTCGGGCGCCGTTCTATCCGTCGCGAAAAAAAATCTCAGCTGGCTTCCAATTTTAAACTGACGCGTACACCGACCATATATGGAGAACATGGTATATTAGCTCATATACCATAATGGCTAAGCCAATCAAAATGCTAGAATTGCATTATCCAATGATTCAGTTTTTAATTATGAATGTTACCCTCAGTTCTCAGTACAGTATAATATTGAGAATTATAGAAGAACATTGAAATATTGTACTCACCAAGATGATATTGTTATTGATAATATTGTTACCATTATATATTTTGTGTAACTTGAGTCCTGGATGGCATTGTTGTAACAACATTGTTTTGGCTTTAACTCAAATGTTGCAGTTTAAAATTTAACTGCTGGGCTCGGTTCCTCGAAAGATGATTAAGTTTAAACCAGGGTTACGCCAAATATTAAGCAAGCTTTTTTTGTCTAAGAACATGTAACTCGAGCTTACAAAATACCGTTGTTGCTTTACTGTGACAGCATGCAAAGAAAGTAGTTTTTTTGAGGAATTCAAATTACAGAAGAAGTGTGAAATCAATCTGCTCATCAAACCGTTTTTTGGGCTAGTTGAAATGATGTTTGGGCTAGTAAATGTTAGCTTCAACTTGCCCGAATGGCAAGCTGTAAAAATGACTTTCTTTGCACCCTGTGTGAAGAAAAAAAGAAATGATAACACAAACTGTTACTCTAAGCAATGCATAGGAAGGTAAATGCAAAAAGTGAAACATTATTTTTATCCTGGATTAGCACTAATCAGCCTTTCAGGAACTGGGCTCAGGATTGCAACAAGCTGTGTTGGGCACAGTTTGCAAGAGTAATTTTTTAATGTTGTTTACAGGAATTCATCCTACCACAATATCAGAGTCGTTTGAAAAGGCTGCAGCCAAAGCAGTAGAGATACTTACAAACATGGCCACTCCAGTTGCTCTCAGTGATCGTGAATCACTGCTAAAAAGTGCAATGACCTCTCTCAGTTCCAAGGTCAGTGAAGTTGGAAAAAAAAATTTGTCTTTGAGGTGAAATGTCTGTCTTGATGTGTTGTGGACAGTAGAGATTTACAGCTACACTGGATTGAGAAAGCTATGTGCCAATTCCAAATTAATGATAATAATTTTAAATAGCAATGATTATTGTTAATTATCTAACTTAGTACTTCAACTTAAAAGTAACACAAACCACCAAGAACGATTTTGTGTGGACACAAAGTTAAACTTTCCATTTTTTTGAAGGATGACCTTCAAAAATGTTTTGTCAGTCAGTTTTTAATGGTTTTGTGTTCTTTGTTCGTTAGGTTGTTTCACAGTATTCTAATCTATTGGCCCCAATAACTGTTGATGCTGTTCTGAGAGTTATTGATCCTTCAACAGCAGACAATGTTAATCTTAAAGATATCAGAGTTGTTCAAAAATTGGGGTAGGTCAAAGTTCATACTAGGGAGCTTAAGCAAATGCATTTTTGAGCGATGCACGTCAACTGGAAGTGAGCTCCATTCTATTCTAATTTGCCATAATGCTTCCAAGTTTTTATTGCTGTGTTTATGGTCTCATAAACTGCCCAAGAATGGATACTGTCCACTTCTGGTTATCATGCGTTGCTCAAAAACGTCTTCGCTTAAGCTCACTGTTGTGTACCAAGCTTTTTCTTGACACAGTGATATTAATAGTTTTTGGGGTCTTTAACCCTAAGTTCAGTGTCTAAAAACAGATTCTCCAGACTGAACACCATACATTTCCTTAAAGTAGAACCCCGATAACTCAAACTCCCTGCTAACTCAAACTAAGTTCATATTCCCTTGGATTTCACCCCACTTTCCAGTCTTTTTTACTTGGTTAACTTGAACTAGGATAACTTGAATTCCCACTAACTCGAACTAAATTTCCTTTCCCTTGATCAAAATGTCAGTGAAATTTACCCTTCTCATGAGCTATTCTTGTTGTATAAGGGTAAAAACACTAAAACTAACACTGGTCAACACAAAAGCAATTTGACTTACTTGGTGAAATGAGCAGATCACGTTTTATGATAAAAAATGCATAGTCATGATGTTACCATTTCTGATGAAATAAGTTAAATTTGCACTTACTGCGTTTATTTTGCTCTAAATAGTAAAAAGTAAAGAAAGTGAAAGAATTCTTAAGCAGTACTGTCATTGCAGATAAGGAAGGAAGGTTTAAGTAAGCACACCCCCATATATATATATATATATATATATATATATATATATTTAGAGAACAAATAAATAAATAAATAAATACATAAATAAATCAATAAGTACTATAGTAACAAGTCAAAAATCAAATAACAGGCAGTGCACTGCAGTTTGGTGTAAATGAGGTGACACTTGAAACTCAAGGTGACCTATTAGATTCAAGAAAGCAGATAGCTATACAGTCAACTGCCTCTAAGATGGACACCTTTGGGACCGGCAGTAAGTGTCCGTCTTATTGAGAGTCAAATAAAGAAAGTTAAGAAAGGTAGGGACCAACTCTAGGTGTCCGTTTTAGGAAGGTGTCTGTCTTATTGAGCTGTCCGTTAAGAGAGAGTCGACTGTACAGATCACATCACTTGTTGGTGCCTATGGGAGTAGCAGAGCCACAACTAAGTGGACATTGATATTAATTTCTTTTGTTGTTTTTTTTTTTTCCAGGGGCACTGTTGATGATACAGAACTTGTGGAGGGCCTTGTATTAGAGCAAAAAATCAGTCATTTGGCTGGAGGAATATCACAAGTGGAAAAAGCCAAAATTGGATTGATACAGTTCTGTATTTCACCTCCAAAGACAGATGTAAGTCCTTGTTTTTGTAAAAATCTATTAACATCTGTCCTACTCTTTAACTTGACCTCAGTCGTTCAAGAGGTGGATATCCCCATCTACAAAATAAATCTCCAGCCAATGTATATCAGAATACGTTGGTTTCCCTGATGCTCATCGGCTGAATAGTGATTTATCTAGTAGATGTTGATATGCAGCTTTTGAAGTACTGAGGCCTGTATGGTTTAACATCCATCTTGTTTAGTCTGCAGTGAAAGACAACTTAATGCGCAAAGGGCACAAAGAGGAAAAGTGCCAGACTGTGAGCAACTGATAGAAATTTTGTGAAATAGGCTTGGGATTGGGATAAGAAGCCAAGAGAATTTGATTGACAAATTATTATATAGGGCACATTTCTTTTTACAGTGAAGGTAACAGCAGAAAGTGAAAACAAAGAGTTTGAAAAAATGTGAATTTGTTATACTTTCTGCAGGTAAAACAAAGAAAACAAAGAAAATGCTCAGCCACACTAGGCTGAATACTGGTTTAACCTGAGATCAGATTTTACGTACAATATATACACCTCTTGTTCAAAAACTGTTAGTTTTTGTTTGTGCCAAGTTTCTGTTGAGAAAAATGTCTTGTTGTTTTGTGGAAGGTGTTAGAAAACAGCTTCAGTGTTTTAAGCTGAACCCTTTTCTTTGTTAAGAGTCTAGTAGTTGAGTTGAATTAAAAAACCCTTAGGCTTGTAGTTATGGTGAGATGATTTTTCATTCCAACTTTTGAATCTGTGGACAAAATCCTATGGTTTTACTTTTCAAGTGTTCCTAGGCAGAACTTTTGCATAGGACAACCGTTATTAAGGCGGAACCCACCAGGAAATTGAGCAATTTTAATTTTCAGTGGACAAAGACCTTGTACCAGAATAATTGAAAAAATATTGCATTCTTTTTTACATTAATAAATTAGTCATCTGTAATAACACCAAAGAAAATTTGTCATGGGAGTCCGAGAAAATGAATGTCAAATTTCACAAGAATTGTGAAAACACAGGTAAAATTCTGAAATTTCATGTGCAAGATGTAATTTTGTGAAATTTGGCATTTATTTTCTTTGGCTCCCATAAGAAATTTTCTTTGGTGTTGTTTCAGATTTAGCCCTTGAAAAATTTTAAAAAGAATGAAATATGCTTTAAATTATTCTGGTACAAGGTTTTTGTCCACCGAAAATTAAAATAATTCAGTTTCCTAGAGGATTCTGTCTTTAAAAAAAAAACAATTTGATTTTAATGGGAATGTTAGGTCACCATTAGAAATAGAAGATAAAAAAAAGAATATATGAATTTCTGACTGGCAAAATGAAGGCATAAAAATGTAAAGAAGATTTTCACAGAGTTAAAGATGCAACCTATGTAGTTTCTAAACAAAAGCTTGAAAAAAATTCAGGCTTCCGTGATTCCACCCTGACCTCTGCGGAATAGAACAGTTAATGTGTGGTCAATGTGCACATAAATGTCATCTCATCTGACGAGATATCTTATCTGTTGTTTGTTTTGTTTTAGATGGAAAACCAAGTAATAGTTAGCGATTACACCCAGATGGACAGAGTTCTTAGAGAAGAACGCCAATACATTCTGGAAATCTGCAAAAAAATAAAAAAGGCTGGATGCAATGTGTTGCTCATTCAGAAGTCTATCTTAAGGTAAAGATGGGCTCCTAAAAAGCTAACTAAATTGATGTTCTTGTCATTTTAACAAAGCTTGCTTATTTGATTGTTTTGCAGAGATGCTGTCAGTGATTTAGCTCTCCATTTCTTAAACAAAATGAAGATACTTGTTGTTAGAGACATTGAAAGAGATGAAATAGAATTCATATGCAAGGTAAAGTAAACGTTGTTGCCATTTCTTTGGGTTTTGTCTTTTGTTCATTCACTAAGACTTTGAGTTTTTCCCTCTTTGTTTGCTGTTCTGAGTCAGTTAGGACTCCAACAGCCGGCAAATAGACTGGTACATGGTCTAAAATTACCATTTTATCAAGCATAATTGGCATGATTTGTTTTATATATAACAAAGAACAAGTTGCTGATGTAGTTGCAAAGGAAAATAATACCTGTTAAATACTTAATTCCTGTTTAGAGCTTAGGTTGTAAACCCATCGCCAGCTTAGATCACTTTACTCCAGAGATGATGGCATCAGCAGAACTTGTTGAAGAAGTTAATCTTGGAACCAGTAAAGTGGTGAAGGTGACAGGTATAACCACGCCTGGTCGCACTGTCAGCATCCTGGTGCGTGGATCAAATAAGCTCGTGTTAGAAGAAGCCGAGCGTTCTCTTCATGATGCTCTCTGTGTGGTCAGATGCTTGGTCAAAAAGAGGTAGGCTCATGCTGGCAAAACATTATTTTATGATGCAGTCGCGCCATACGAGCGCTTTTTCGGTCTAATATAAATCTGGTCATAGTGTCAGTATCTTGTCCTCAGTTTGGACTCCCTATTGCTGTCATTTTAATTTGGCCGCGTTGGTATACCTTGTCCAATGCATGGTTAGGTAGGCTATTTATGGAGAAAAGAAATCCATTTAGTATACATTATTTATTGAAAGTTGTCCCTTAAAAAGCACGTTATTAATTGGTACCCTGATATTGGTCAGTGGAAGTTGAGTGAAAGGAAAAATGAAGTGATCGGCTTCAACAATTAACAAAGTCAGTCAAAATTTGCAGATATATTTTAAAACTTATATGAAATAAGTTGTACGTTGCTGCACTTCAAGTGCAATGTTTTCATTTCCATGTTATGATGCAGTGGTGAGTGACACCTTGATAGTCGTAAAAGGTACTTAGAATATAGCAGAATAGAAATTATTTTGCTCCTCTTCTCGCTTCATTTTGTGAAATCGTTCAGTTCAGATGGTAAATTGCTGGCTGCTTCATGTCTGTTAACATTTTGTCTTTCATTTCAGTTTTCTTTTCTTTCCTTTTTCTGATTGGTACTTGTCTTACAAGAAGAGATAAACATTTAACTGCAAGCGCTTATATGCTGAGCACTTGCTTATGTTACATTTTGTATATATTTCATGTCGGCAGGGCCCTCATTGCTGGTGGTGGAGCACCAGAGATTGAAGTGTCCATTAGACTTGCTGAGCATGCGCGCACTTTAACAGGAATGGAGGCATACTGTGTTCGCGCCTTTGCCGAGGCGTTGGAGATCATCCCGTACACGCTGGCTGAGAATGCCGGACTCAACCCCATAGCAACTGTCACTGACTTGCGTAACAGACATGCGCAGGGAGAGACTACAGCTGGGATAAACGTCAGAAAGGTGGGAAAAAGATTGAACAACTTGCGCAATTAAGAGTACCATAGGCCTGGCGAGGCCAAACGTCGAATAACTTTTCATGAAACGAACCAAACTTTGTGAGTTAAGTTCACAGAAAGTTCGACGTCTGGGTCAGTCAAGTTCGTCTGAATGAGTCTGGATCGTTCAAAAATTGTTTCGTATAAAAGTTGGAGCTGCTCTCCTTTCCTAATTAATTTGACTTCGTATTTTGGTTCAAGCAAATTTTTTACAACATTGCTAAAGTTTAGTCTATTCTATACAATATTTAGGGGTTTTGTTTAAAAATTGACTGGTTAAACATCTGTTCATCCTGTGCATTTTTTCAGGGCACCATAACAAATATTCTGGAAGAGAACGTTCTGCAGCCGCTGTTAGTCTCCACCAGTGCCATTCAGTTAGCGTCTGAAACCGTTCGCAGTATTCTGAAAATCGATGATATTGTAAGTACAAGCTCTATCAGGGTGCAAAGAAAGTGATTTTTAGAGCTTGCCACTCGGGCAAGCTGAAGCTAGCATGTACTAGCCCAAATGTCATTTCAACTAGCCCCAAAAACATTTTGATGAGCAGAATTGATTTCACAGTTCTTCTTTAATTTCAATTCCGCAGAAAACTTACTTGCCCGTCGGGCAAGTAAAGTTCAAAATTCACTAGCTCGATAGTAAAGTCCACTAGCCCCGGGCTATCGGACACTACTTTCTTTGCACGCTGTCTATGTAAGGAGAATTTCCATGAACAATTGGACTCCGCTTTTCGTGGGCGAAACTAAACGGACTACTTTTACTGCTAGCCTGCGTAGCTGGTGGTTTTGTTTGTCGAGCGCGCAAATGAGCGGCCAAGCCGCGAGGAGAATGAGCGTTCGCAGCTTTTTTCCCCTCTCGCTAAACATAATGCATATTGCAATGCCAGGCCATTTTAGTGCGTTACGGTCACTTCGTCGCAAGTCAGATCGTTCAAATTACTTTTGAATTTTTGACTGGACTTTGTAGACTAGGTGCAGTCTCTCTTTTTTCGTTGTCCTTCGAGCGAAACGTGTGACACACGAAAATGACCACCTTTACTCGCGTCTCTCTCGCGCGCGTGCACTCCCGTCACTAAATTTGAAAAAAAAGGGAGACTGTCCGATTGAAACAACTGTTACTAATGCGTTAGTGCTTATCTTGACAGGTAAATACGAGATGAATAATCAACCCAGAGCCTTTAGGGTGAAGATTACACGAACTTGCAATTCGCCATTACAGGAACATGGCACGTGGTGTCATAAATCCTTGAGGAGTGTACCTAGCGATCCAGAAGAAATGGTTTATTATCATTTCGCTGAAGAAAGAACACATGAACAGTGTACTTATCAGAAGTTTTGCCGTGAAGTCGTTCCTCGTTTTTTTGCCTGAGAACACCTCAGGAAAATGAACAGTCTTTGTTTTGCCGCGGAAGAAATGTGTATCTGAGGATGAATAAATATTAGATACTTGCACGCTGACATGTGGCATAGTTTTGTTGTTTTCGTCCAGTTTTTTGGGGACTCCTTTAATCCCGAAAGGTTCAAAGTCAATTTTGAAATCTCGCTCCTTCCAGTTATTTTCATGCATTCTTCTAAAATTAGTGAGGGAAAGGTGTTTTTATCCGCATATTTACCTTGGGTGATTGGAAATCATGCATTGCGACTACTGAAGATTGTCTTAACGGATGGGTGAATAGTCTATAGGATGCGCTGATTTCTAGAATTAACTGTAGGCTCTAAGCCAACGAGAAGACAGATAGTGTGTAGTGTACAATGTATGATGTTGCTAAGAGGAGAATATTGATGCTGATTTGGATAAGGGCTGCAGGATACATGTTAAAAGGTGGTGGCCCGCCTATAATTATTCCCAGATCTCAGTGATGAATCCCTGAGGAAAGTATAGTTGAATCCTCCTACAACGGTCTTCTTGGGGACAGAAGTTATCAGTCCTCGGGTGGAGACAGGGATGGAGTAGAAATGTGACAATTTCGGTGGGGAAAGGGTCAGTCCCCGGGGGTGGGGGTTGGGGAAAAAAACGAGCTCTCGCTTTCCTACCAAAATGCATTGACCGCGAAGGCCTGGGAAGACGCCGTACAGGGACTAGGCAAATCCCACCCCTCGAGATTAGGAAAGGCTGAAACACTTTTACTTAGAAATGCTTTCCTAGGTTAGCAAAGGCTACTGTAACAACATTGAAAGGAAGTCAAAGATTTAAATACCCTGTAACAGTAAAACTGCGAAAATTGCCGTTGACCAGCTGAAGATTCACAAAAAACAGGGAAACAAACAAACAGAGCCAGGAGCACATAATCTGGAGCGAGCAACTTCCATGTACTCGTGTCACGGCGTTTTACGGACCAGTTTATTGTTAGAACGGTTTTGGCGCGAATTTAGAATATCTTTAAAGTCCCACAAACCAGTCAGCAAACCTACAGACCTAAAAATGATAATTTTTGCCTTATATATGTAATGACGTTACGTTTTCCTTTTTGATATCTTACCCTTCGAACGCGTTCATACACGAGGCGGAGATTCCATTTCCGCGGGCAAAAGTGCCCTAAAATGTGTCTAAAAATAAACCGGTCCATAAAAACGCCGTGACATAGGCCTGGTATGGGAGTTGCTCGCTCCGCATTATGGGCTCCTGACAGAGCAGGAGGTCACTTTCACGGTCGAAATAGCATGTCTTATCTATACATTTTTGAGAAAACTGCAGAAATAGTCTTTTCAAAACCAAAACAGAGCCTAACAAAGGTAAAACATTTAACAGGGATCATGCTGTGTACGCCTAGAGAAGACCATAACCCGTGCCCATAAGAGGCCCTGCCAGGGTAAATTCCGACAAGCGACATGACCCAAAAAGTAGCGACAGAGCCTAAAATGAAATGGCGACAAGCGACAACCTCCCGCTGCCAAATTGCGACAGTAACGGCAAAGCCGAGAATATGCGACAAAGAACGGTGGTTTGGCTAATTTATCACTAGTCTGAATGCCTAGAAGAAGTAATTTTGGTCAATTTTCCTTGCGCTTCAGAGGTTGTCTCTCGTCAGGGAGTTTCAGTAGACCCTCTCGAGCGCGTCGAGTTGGCCCGTCGCGTAGTCTTCATTTATGCAACCCCGCACAATTCCTGGGAGACCTTGGGACTAGGTTGTCCGTCAAATAGCTTAATTTACGCTCGCTTTACATCTCTTGTAATCACTACTTTCACATAGGCCATGACGCACCTTAATTTTCCCCTCAGAATTTTGCATAACCAATGTTTCCAAATTCTCCAGGGTATTACAGTCGTCCCAAGAGAAATCGAAAACAATGGTTATGCAAAGTTTTGGGGGGTAAACAAGGTGAATTATGGTCTATGTGAAAATGGTGAATACTTTGCTCGTTTCTGAACTTCTCATATCCTTGTCGACCTCTATCGGACGATGACGACGGTGGAGAGACCAGGGACCAGGTGACTTAAACACCGCACAGCGTAGACCACCGTTAACCGGCCTTCACGTACGATTTATCAGGTCAGTTAGTCTTAAAATGTTGAACGTGGATCACTTAGGGTGTGCTGACAGTGTTCCTTTAAGCGAATCCAAAAACGGATTTCTGATCCGAGATTTGCCGGATTCCGCGGTTTGATCCAGTTTCGTAGCTCGGTTTTCTATGTAACACGATCGAGTGCCTATCGCGTCCAAGAGCGAGTTTGTAGAAAGATAGCAGTTATTTGTCCCTTTTACTTATTTGTGTTTTTAAGCAATCTTTTGCGACAAATGGTCAGCACATGGACATTTTACTGTACCACCATGAACAATCTTCTAGTGTTTTCAGATGTTTTACGGCAAATGGCAGCAATTAGGAAACTCTACGGGAGTACTTCTACTGGAAGTAGAGCTGGATCATCTGACTAATTTCGAATCCACTGTGAATGGAACAGCGTAGATGACTAATCCGTTAATCTGGATTCGGATTCTTCGGATTTCAAATCCAATGTGAATCCTTTTTCAAAAAGGATTCACCAGATCAAAAATCCGAATTTGGATTTGCCGAAAGGAACGTGAAATCCATTTTAAGATCCAAATCCGTTTCTGGACTCACCGAAAGGAACTCACCCTTAATTGTGAATGGCGATGTATAGGTGTTCTATACGCGAAAGGTTAACTGAGAAATTGCTCAACTGTAATGGTTTCTTTAAAACCCATCGCTATCCCCCTTTTCTAAAATTCCGACAAAGACAAAGAATTTTCGTTCAATTTCCGACAGCGACGTGAAGCATTAATAAACACCGACACGAGACGTTTTAAAATTCAGACGAGCGACATTGGAGCCCCCCCTGGCAGGGCCTCCCATAACCTGCTCCCGCGTTTCCCGCGCCTGTCAATTTTCTACAGGCAGTGAAAGTCTGGTATGTAGAGCCCGTCCCCAGGGTCTTCTCGTTTTCTTATGAAGTAGGTCACGCGAGAGCGCGATTTTGTCAATAAAAGCCAATCAAAATGGCGGACAGTAATGGCGGATCTCGTGCAATTCCTTCAGGTTACGATTACGACTTTGTTTCTCCCATTGACGAAGATTATGTTTGTCAGATTTGTCACTTACCCCTTAAGAAAGCCGTTCTCACAAGATGTGGGCACAGGTTTTGTAATGACTGCCTCTTGGAATCCTTCAGGAGGTAAGCTTGAAGTTCAAGCTTATGGTAACTTACAAATGAATTGTCAGCTTAAGTTTTAATATTACCTTATCAAGTTCGAATGATAGAGAAATTTATTGTATACATTCACCATAATTACACTTCATTGATAGGATTTTTTATAGCTGGGTGAATTCGAATATAAATTATGTTTGACCATGTTTGGAACTTCAGATTTTATGCTGATTGCAACTGGGAGAACTTATAGTTAACTTATCTTGGTAATTATCAATAATAAGAAGTCGAGAAGCCTTAGACCTTTTTAGCTTGTATGTTCTGCTCAAATACAGGTCATTTGATTTGCTTTGAAATATCTTTTCATGAATTATACCTACATAAGATATAGTTAGTGATAAGAGGATATTTGTTGAAAGAAACATTTATCCAGGGAAATATCACATGACTTGTATTGGAAAAATGAAAAATATTATTTGTTTTGGTGATAACACAATTGAAATCCTCCATGGATTTGAAATACCATACCAATGAATCAATTGGCACCTGAGTTGCTCCACAAAATATGCATGAGGAAAATTATTTTCGCTAGCCATACATAACGAGCAAGTAGGAACTATCCCAACTGCAAAATAAACAAGGATTGCAATATTATTGTATCAGTAAATTCCTAACTGTGGAAGTGATTTTACCCACTACAAAGTAATTTTACCCACTATGAGTAAAAACTCAACCAAACGTGATAAGCACTGGCATAACATTGCATTACATGTTGTTGAGTGAGGTCTTCATGGTCCATTTACTGTGTTTTACGATTGAGTTGTAAAACTTTCAATAATTTTGATATTAAT